ATGAAAATTGATTAGTGGGAGTATGAAAAGTACTTTTGCCCTTTAAAAGATTTAAGTAGTTTTGGATAAAGACTTCTTCACTTCTACTCTAAAAAGCGAACATGGGAGACTAGATCTTGATGGTGTTACAAAACTTGTCATCAATACTCCAAATAACAAACATGAGACGCTAGATCTTTCTGGCATTACAAAACAATTGAATGTTTTATAAATGATATAATGGATGATTCTCATCAGTGAGCTCGTAATTAATATTACCATCAACTCTCTTTTCTTTTTTTTTTGTTATGCTTCATGTTTGTAATGCATCATGTTTGTGTTTTGGAGTATTGAATTAAAACTAGAATATTATCTGGTGATTGATGCTAATTAAACTAGAATATTATCTGGTGATTGATGCTAATTAAACTAGAATATTATCTAGAAGTATACGTTACATGTATACCGCCACCGCAGAGATGTAAACTACACCCGAAGAATGAATGACTATACTTATATTATGATTCAAACTCGTAAAACCAGCCATTTTTGGTTTTGTTTTCTTTTTAATATAAGTATAGTCATTCATTCTTCGGGTGAATCCGTGAGTTTGAACTTTAATTTAATTCGACATCGCGAGTTAACCGGTCTCAAATCTCAACATATCTCCATAGTCCTTTACTCATTTCTCTCATACATAGCATACAATTCTAAAGTACCTAAAAAGCCTTACACATCAACTAGTACATGAGAGACAAATCTAGCATGTACTCTAGTTTTTGACTAGACTACTAAAATTGAATTATTATTGGAACTAACACACTTTTCTACAAATTGCACAACCTGCAAATTAAAACTAGGCTTATTAACATTTTACCATCACCAAAATGTGTGAACTAATTTAGTCGGTGAAACCAAATATCACCTGAGCTCACTCTTTCTTCATCAACCCCAAACTCTAATTACTGTTTCAGCCATGGATTCATCTTCAATTTTAGTAGTTCACATAAAATCATTACCTAAAAAAGAAAAATCAACATAGAAGTGCGAATAAATGAGAGCTAAAAATTAAAGAGTGTTACCTACTTTTTCTGTCCTCATCTATCTCCTCCATTGATTACGCTTCTTGATTGAAGCGCCCCACAGAGAGAAGAAAAAGCATACATTCTCTAGATTCCTTCTTTCTTCTTCTTCTTCCCCGCACGAACGTTTCTGGGTCTCTCTTTTCTCTTCTCTTTTACTCCATTTCAGAGCAAAGTTTTACTCTTTAAGTTCACATGGTGGGTTTTAAAGTTCCTTCTTTTTTACTCAATTTCGAAGCTTTCTGTCTGTTTTATCTCTACCCTTTGAAAAAGTGAGAATGTGGGTTTTTGTGACTCTTTGATTCGTTTTTTAGAGAATTGGGTTTTGGGTTTTTGTGTTGAATTGCTCAGTTTTGAAGTCATGCAGATAATATGTTCGATGATATTCCTGTTAGTGATGATGATGATAAGCGTTTCAGGGTTTTCCGACTTTGAAGCTCTTTTGGAGCTTAAGAAAGGTTTTCAAAGTGACCCTTTTGGAAAAGTTCTTGCTTCGTGGGATGCTAAAGCTTTATCCACTGATAGGTGTCCGTTAAACTGGTACGGAGTTACTTGTAGTAGCGGAGGTGTTACTTCCATTGAATTGAATGGTTTAGGTTTGCTTGGGAATTTCAGTTTCCCAGTCATTGTTGGTCTAAGAATGCTTCAGAATTTGTCGATTTCGAATAATCAGTTTGCTGGAACTCTCTCTAACATTGGTTCTTTTAAGTCTCTTAAGTATTTGGATGTTTCGGGTAACTTGTTCCGTGGCTCGTTACCTTCTGGAATTGAGAATTTGAGGAACCTTGAGTTTGTGAATCTCTCTGGTAACAATAATCTGGGAGGAGTGGTTCCTGCTGGTTTTGGGAGTCTTCAGAAGTTGCAGTACCTTGATTTGCAAGGCAATAGTTTCTCTGGGGAAGTGATGAGTCTGTTTTCACAGCTAATTAGTGTGGAGTATGTAGATATAAGCAGGAACAACTTCTCGGGTTCGCTTGATCTGGGTCTCGCAAAGTCAAGCTTTGTTTCCTCGATTCGTTATTTGAACGTAAGTGGGAATTCTTTGGTAGGGGAGCTATTTGCTCATGATGGCATCCCATTTTTCGATAGCTTAGAAGTGTTGGATGCTAGCAGTAATCGATTGTCTGGTTCTGTTCCAGTCTTCAGTTTTGTTGTCTCTCTCAAGATTCTTCGGTTGCAAGACAATCAGTTGTCGGCTTCTTTACCACCGGGCCTTCTGCAAGAGAGTTCAACCATCTTAACTGAGCTAGATCTTAGCCTCAATCAACTTGAAGGTAAAATTTCTATGAATATTCACACCCTCTGGCTCTAATTTCAAGACTTTCTTTGCAAATCTTCTTTTTTATCTGTTTAGATTTACCAAACTGGGAATATTTGTGGCAGGTCCTGTCGGAAGTATAACCTCTTCCACACTAGAGAAGCTCAATTTGTCTTCAAATAGACTATCCGGATCCTTACCTCTGAAGGTAGGGCATTGTGCCATTATTGATCTGAGTAACAATAAGATTTCAGGAGACTTGTCAAGGATACAGAATTGGGGGGATTCTATAGAAATTATTCGGTTGAGTTCAAACTCACTCACTGGAACACTACCTGGCCAAACTTCTCAATTCTTGAGGCTGACTTCACTCGAGGTTGCTAACAACTCGTTGGAGGGTGTACTACCATTTATTTTAGGAACGTATCCTGAACTTAAAGGGATTGATCTCAGTCACAACCAGCTTAATGGCGTCCTACCAAGTAATCTGTTCATATCTGCAAAGTTGACGGATCTCAACCTATCAAATAATAATTTCTCTGGTTCACTTCCTCTTCAAGATGCAAGTACTGCGGGAAACCTCAGCTTGACCAATATTGGCCTGTCGCATAACTCGTTAGGTGGAGTTCTCTCAGAGGAACTAACTCGCTTCCACAATCTGATTTCTCTTGACCTTTCTTATAACAACTTTGAAGGGAATATCCCTGATGGCCTCCCGGACAGCCTAAAGGTATTCACTGTATCTGCCAATAATCTCTCTGGAAATGTGCCGGAGAATCTTAGACGGTTTCCAGATTCAGCGTTTCATCCAGGGAACGCCTTACTGAATGTCCCCGTTTCTCCAGAAACACCAGTAGATAAAACAGATATGACCTTGCGGAAGCATAGGTATCATATGAAGTCTTCCGTAAAGGCAGCCCTGATCATAGGCTTGGTCGTGGGTGCTGCTCTACTTGCTCTTGTTTGTGCGATGTTTCATTTTATGTCGAGAAAGCAACATGATGAAGAGAAGTCGGATGTTACTGGAGAAAAGAGCATTGTTCAAAAAACTGAACCTTCTTCTTCCAATGTGATTGCAGCAAAGAACAGTGTACAGGAAAATGAATCTTCGTCTTCTACTACTTCTACTCCCTCAATCAAAGCCAAGCTACCGGTTTCTTCTTCACGTTTTTCCCAATATAGTGACTCTGAGAATTCTTCACCATTTTTGAAAGAACCTACAGAGGAGCTTCATTCTGACTCAACAAGAAAAGATGAAACCTTGTCATCCCAAGTACCTTCTTCAACTCCATCGCTGCCTAAAATCCAGAATTCACCAGATAATCCTAGGTCTCGCCAAACTTCTATGAGATTGGATGGGAATCTGTATATATTCGACAGTTCTCTTAAGCTTACAGCAGAGGAACTGTCTCGTGCTCCGGCTGAAGCTATCGGAAGGAGCTGCCATGGAACGCTGTACAGAGCAGTGCTCAATTCTGATTCTGTATTAGCAGTCAAATGGTTGAGGGAAGGGACTGCAAAAGGTAAGAAGGAATTTGCAAGGGAGATAAAAAAAATTGGGAACATCAATCACCCAAATCTTGTTTCTCTTCAGGCTTACTATTGGGGTCCGAAAGAACACGAGAAGCTCATCATATCAAGATACATGGATGCACCCTGTTTAGCTTTCTATCTCCAAGGTAAAGACTTGCACATTGCTTTCTAGTTAAAATTTGATTGGTTTTTTCACTTCAAACATGAATTATCCTACATGACTTATCTAGCAATGATGGTTCTCTCATTCTCTGTTGTCTGCAGAGGCTGGACAGATAAACCTCCCACCATTGTTACTGGAAAACCGTCTTAAAATCACTCTGGACATAGCCAGTTGTCTTAGTTACCTGCACAATGGGGAAGCAATTCCACACGGGAATCTTAAATCAACTAATGTTCTCCTGAAACCTCCTGAACTCACTGCACACCTAACAGATTACAGTCTTCATCGGTTAATCACACCAGAAGCCACGTCAGAGCAAGTCTTGAATGCAGCTGCTCTCGGCTACTGCCCTCCAGAGTTTGCAAGCTCGAGTAAACCGTATCCTTCTCTGAAAAGCGATGTGTATGCCTTTGGGGTCATTTTGTTAGAGCTTCTAACAGGAAAGGTATCAGGAGATATAGTTTGCAGTGATCCAGGGGTCGTTGAACTCACTGAGTGGGTTCTACTGCTTGTGGGACAAAACCGTGCAACTGAGTGTTTTGATCCATCCATTATTGGGTCACAGGGCTCAAGGAATGCTTCTGGAGTTCTTACTGATGTCTTGCAGGTTGCCCTGAGCTGTATCTCACCAGCACCAGAGAGACCGGATATGAAGTTGGTCTCTCAAGAGCTCTCCAGAATTGTTCTCAAGAGGACAAACTAGAAGAGCTTTCTCTGTGAATGCCGCTGTAAAAATGCCTTGTTGTATTTATTTTGTTCCATTAATTCCGTTTTTTGTTATAGCATAAAATGAAACTGTAAATCTAAATGAAATAGTCCAACTGGTTTCGAGACAATAGTGTTAACATATCATTGTTGTAAGTCTCAAGTCCCGGCACGGTTTAGAGCCAACTTTATAAAGAGTAAAAATACTCATTTGGCTTAACCTAGTTGCTAATCAAAGAAGAGCGGTACTCATTTGCAGTTTATGGAAACCAAATCGCCAAAAAAATCCATCAAACTTGTTGATACATCTCTGATGACTAGCCAAACTTAGCTTGGTTCTAGGCCCATGTTCATTAGCTAAGTTTCAACTCATCAATGAGCTTAATGTGAGTGACAAGACTCTCATGTGTGCAAAAGACCATTAATCGATGTCTATGAACAAGATGTTGGTGAATGAAAAATTTCTTAGAATTAGGTCAATAAAAATTATAAAATCAGTATTTTCGATAATAAAGATTCTTGAAAACAAAATCCAGTCAACTCAATGTTATAGGGAAAATGAAGAGGAGCTGACGTGGATAGATGCTGAAAGATGATTGGCTGAGAGGTGAAATATGAGTTGGCAGCTGTTGATTGGTGCGTTGGTTGAAGGAGAAGAGGACGTGAAGCTATAAACAGAGTTTAAGATCATTTGAAGGAAATTAATCAGAGAATTGTTTTGGTATCTTTTTCTTAGAATTTCTTGTGTTGTGTGACAATGGTGGACTCATTGTTGGCTAGAGTTTCTTGTGAACTCAGCAGATGAGATTTGGATCCGCGTTTCATGAACGTTGATTCAATTTGTGTTTGATTTTCAAGTTATCGATTGAATTGCAGTTTATCTGCATCAATGGTATCAGAGCCAAGCGTGTCCTCGGAAGCGATGGCAGAGACACGTTCACCGAAGAAATTGATAGATGCGGTGGCTCATGAAACGGCGAAATCGTTGGGATCAATGGCGGAAGCAAGATCGACAAGCCACAACAAGCTAATTCCTATGAAGTATTCATGGGAGGAGATAAATACACGACGAGAGGCTGGTTTGTGTATATTTTGTGACGAGCGAGAGACTCTTGATCATCACTTGAAGCACAAGAGGTTACGGCTTGTCATGGTGGACCTTGCGTATACTTCATTGGTTGATCTTGAAGACCTTAAGCGAGATAGTGATCTGAAAGCAAAGGTTAACGAAGTGGTAGAAATTGAGATCAAAACTGAGGTTGCGACAAAATCGATTGAAAAGTTGGGACATGAAGCGTTCTCGGATGATGAATCAACTCCACAGTTTCAGGTACCAATTGCTAATTCTGAGATTTTGGAGAGTATTGAACCTACGGAAGTAAATTTAGGGTTAGAAAATCTAGAATCTCTGGTGATGAACGAGGATCTGGAGCAAGATTGGGTTAAACAGAACATTAATAAGAGATTTGAGGTTGAAGATGATGTTGATAGGGGGCAGAAAGTGGTAAGAATTACGAAAATTTGCTCTGCACACCAAGTGCTCGGTAAAATGTCTCAACATGAAGAAAAGCTGGGAATAAAGAAGAAAGCGAAAGGGTTTAAATCGTGGATGTTCAAATTCAAAGCTACTAAGGGAAATATAAGGAAACAAGACAATAAGGGCTGGTTCCACACTTGGAGAAGAAAAATGAGTTGGAGGAAGAACAAGACTACGAAATTGCAGTTTGTTTCACAAGGTAAACTGTTTTCTATAGTTAGTTTTCAGAGTAGCAGAGGGTTTGAAGTCTCACGAATGGTGAAAGAAAACATGATGCAAATTCCAAAGTTGTTGTGCCAAACAATTGATCAATCAAGAAGAGATGTTACACATGTGCTTCCTCTTTATGCAAGGAGTGTTTTAAAACTGGAATTACAAGAGGCTGTTCGTTTTTCAAGAGGACAAATCACAGGTTTTGTCTTGGAAATGGTTGATGGGTGTGAGCAATCAACAGGCATGAAGGTCACGCATTGTGCGCACCAAATATTTGATGTACGACCTCCAATGGTACAACAAAAGATGAAGAAGGAAAAAATTTTGAAGAGTTGGAAATTTAAGTTCAAACCTGAAAAAGAGGACATAAAGCAACAACATAATCAGGTTTTCTATGTCTCGGATTTTCGCATTGCTATGTCTAACTCACAAGAGATTCTAAGAGGTAAAAACTTAGAATGGAAGATGAAGAAACTGAAGTGTCCCAAGTCTTGGAACTTTAAGTTTAGATACAGGGCCTTGAGAACTTCTAAAGGGTCTCTTCTCCTCTTATATTTTTCTGTGTGGCATTGTTGGAAAATGAAGTTCAAGCTATGCTTGAGTCGTCTCATTGATCTGCTGCAAAGGGAAGTGTTGAATCACTCAACAGATCATCTCGTGATAGTGGACAAAACTGATCTAATGTGCCACACTACGAAAAATAGAAGAAAGTTTCCGAGCTTGAAGATGAAGATGCACGCATATATGCACTTGCTTGGTAGCAACACTTGTGTTTCAACTTTGGGAAAGAGGAAGCTAGGCAAAGATTGGTGGTTTAAATACAAGACACTGTTAATGGCTAAAGATTTACTGACGAATCATCAAAAGGAGCAACTACGAATTAGACACTAGAGGATGATGAAGTTGTCACAAGCTTTGCGATTCAAACCGGCTCGTCTCTTTTTTACCCAAATAATAATGCCTACGAGCTCTCTGTTTGGAGACTTCAAAACAGGGCTTGGAGACTCGGTAAAAGAAAGCTATGATTTCAATTGGAAGAGGCTTCATGGGAGTTACTCTATGAACTGGCAAAGAAGTTTCCATGAACCTTGTGGTCAAGGTTCTCTAAGGAGGGGAGCTTTGTTATAGGGAAAATGAAGAGGAGCTGACGTGGATAGATGCTGAAAGATGATTGGCTGAGAGGTGAAATATGAGTTGGCAGCTGTTGATTGGTGCGTTGGTTGAAGGAGAAGAGGACGTGAAGCTATAAACAGAGTTTAAGATCATTTGAAGGAAATTAATCAGAGAATTGTTTTGGTATCTTTTTCTTAGAATTTCTTGTGTTGTGTGACAATGGTGGACTCATTGTTGGCTAGAGTTTCTTGTGAACTCAGCAGATGAGATTTGGATCCGCGTTTCATGAACGTTGATTCAATTTGTGTTTGATTTTCAAGTTATCGATTGAATTGCAGTTTATCTGCATCACTCAATCAAAAATATATTACTATTCTATGCGCAATTTTTTTTTTTTTGTTAAACCGATGTGAGTTCCGGACCTTTGGCCAATAATCTATCTAAGTTCTCAGAATTAACCTTTAGATATTTCTATTTAAAAAGAAAGTTCCACATAAAAGGTGGTTTGAATCCAAGGGCCAAGGCATAAGGAAACCAACCCCTTTTTTACCACTTGCATTGAACCGGCCAACATTTTGATACATGTATGTCATATCTATATGTTCCTCTTTAATTATGCAATGTGAAGACTTTATTTGGAGTATTTATTATGTTTACGAATTGGTCAATGCACTTCCCAACCTGCTTAAATGGTAAAGCATGAACTCTCTATTTTATATTTTAGTAACACAATCGATACTAATTAAAAATTCATGTATATTTATTGAATATTAGGAACGAAAGGGTCAAGTGCGGCATTTCTTTGTCTCCTTCCATTTTCTCTGCGAGACCTCAGCATCATCGTGAGAAAAAAGAAGCAAGACAAATCTTCAGAGCACCTTTATTTCAAGGTATGTCTTATGTGCAATTTCTCCTACTCATTTTTCTTGATTTTTATCTATGATGATAGATGTTGAAAACTTATTTTGTTTTGTTCACATTTTGAAAATTTCTTTCTTATGACGCTGTGATGTTCATCAAGACTAAATTTTACTAAATTTTGTAAAATATTTTCTTTAATCACTAGTGAAAAATTATGTAGTAATTGGTATGATATTAATTCGTATGGTAAATATTATATCAGCATGACAATGTTTGTACTTTGTAGTAGTATATGATCATATTTTGTATTTTCTCTTTGTGTTTTTTGTTTTTAATTTTCTGATGAGAAAGTAACTATCGTATATTATATAGATAACAATTCTATATTTATTGTTTCTTATGGGTTGTTTTGGTGCCATTTTTTCACACAATTAGGTTGAACCACTGTCATTATTTTTTATCCAAAACAATGGTCAATCCAAACCAAAGCTGTATTGACCATTTCTGTATTGACCTTTGATTATATCACATTCATAAAAATCCTCAAATTTTGCTTGATATTCAGTTTAATTTACTGTATATATAGCTAAAAGATAAATCAATATACTAGTTCAAATAAATCATTTTACTTTTTTTTTTGAAAAAACAATCAACTGTTAAGACTTTGTTTTAAATCATTCAACAAAAAAATCTTGATGAAGTTACTTATTTTATACTCCATAAAATAAGTTTTGTTTAGTTAAAGTATAAAATAAAGAAACTATATCTATAGACGATATAATGCCTAACGTGCACTCCACAATGGTACAGTCTTAGTTCGTGATCTCCACATACAATTATTAGACAATTATGTATTTGTGTGGATTGTGTAAAATATGCATCTTGACGTTTCAAAAAAATATTTTGTATCCCAATGGAGAACACACATACATAACTGTTAGTACGAAATTAATACATTCATATGTAATGTGTTTATCTTAGGTAATGGTTTGGTTAATACGAGTATAGTACTTATGGAAGAATGTGTTAAGTACCAAAATCCTAGAAGTGTATCAACAATTCTGGTCTAGAATTGTTTGTAAACCTAAACTTTGGTATTTTTGAAACTTTTCAAAAATAGTAGTGTTTTTTTTAAGGGGCTTTTGCAAAAATGCCACTTTTCAAAAATATCCCTTTTTAAAAACCTTATAAAAAATGCTCTTAAAAATATAAGATTTACCCAAATATGTATGTAATATTATTAAAACATACACAAACTACATTTCTATGTATCTAAAATCTTATAAATACTTTATAAATACCTTATAAATGCATTTAAAATACCTTTAAAAATCTTTAAAATATCTTGTAAAACCTTTGAAAAACCTTAAAAATCTTTTAAAATAACTTGTAAAACCTTTAAAAACACCTTATAAAACCTTATAAATACTTGGATCGAGTCTTCAAGTAGTAGTTATAATCCATAAGTACCTTATAAACCTAATAAAACTTTATAAAAATTTCAGATTTAGAAAGGAGCATTTTTTAAAATGGACATCTAAAAGGGACATTTTTGAAAAGGGACACACCAAAAAGGGTATTTTTAACAATTTAAAAATAAGACATTTTTATAGTATTCTAGCCTTCTAGGATATACTCTTAAAAGAAAACAATGTCTTTTGTTTATACTTTGACAATTTTAACAAACCTGTACAGTTGATAAAAAAAAATTAATAGTAGACGTCAATACTTTGAACAAAAGGTTAGGAAATCAACAAATACTATATTATATGACATGTATAAAAAATGATAACAAACTTTATTTAAAAAGATTTTTCCTAGTGTATAATACCAAAGCATTAAATAAATATTTTGAAAAATAATTATTCGATTATGTCTTTGGATTTCCGGTACAAGAAACATTTTCTTATATACATATTACATATTTTGTTTTACTACTTTTTGTATTAAATTTAGAATTATCATTATAACACTCTAAAGATAGTTGACCCGTGACCATTTGGTAAATTTTTATGGAATTGAAAGAACCAATCCAAAATAGTTATATCTATAAACTTTTTTAAGTTATATATATTTGATTTTTTTATAGAAAATTTGACAAATGAATAATGTATAACAATAGAAATTTAGATACAAAAATCCCATGTAATATATCTAAAATTTTGGGTAGTGCGAGTAATGCAAATTACTCAAATTAGCGTACAATGTAAGCCTTACATGTACGATGGATAAACGAATGTGACATAATGATATGAGAAGAAAAAGAAAACATTTTAACCACAAATTATTTAAAATTAAAACATATAACTGACTTATTTACATTAGTGTTTTGATTGTATTATTACTAGGATTCATTTTATGTAAAATGCATGTTGTTGGAAGAAAATAAAAATTTGGTAAATCTAGTCAATTTTTGTTTTAACTCAATTTTGAATGGGTACTACTCTAAAACACACTTGCGTAATGTGTATGTATCATCATTTGGAGTTGGACTCCGCGGTTTGACAAACCGTGTTTGCTTTTCTGCCTCTTAGCTGTAATCCATCAATCATCAATACAAACTTATTATTCTTTTAACTTGTGCTTCGTATCTTACTCGTGAGCACGTTATTTAATTTTTATTCTTTCTTATTACATATAATTAATTTGTTGTTTTCATGCTTCAATTTGATCACTTCCTTATAAATATATTTTCAACCTTATATAGATTACTAAGTCAATGGTTTATTATTTTTACAATATTTTCAACCTTGTAAATATATTTCCAACCTTAAAGTATTTTTACAATAACCAAATCATGGTTTTTTTTTTTTTTTTTTGTTTCCTAATCAACTCAATTGTTTTTTTTTGGAGCAAAAATCCACTCATTATTTTGGCTGAATTTTTTTTATGGTGGAATAATTATATATTTGATATATGTGTATGGTATAGTTGAAAGATTTATTATGAATTAAGAGACCCATGTTCGAATGAACGAATCTACACACTACAATTTCAGTTATAGTTGACTATTGTGAATATCTAAAATAGCAAAAATATTCGATTTTCATGTCTATTAAAAATTAGTCTGGATTTCTGTATAAAATTTCATGATTAAAAAAATAGAAAATAACTATTTCATAATACACATCTTAATAATCTCACGAATCTTTTTTTATAAGTGAAAAAATCAAATTGCCTGCAAAACTACACCATATAAATTCTGTAAACACATATATATCTGAAATATTTTATTCCATTAAAATATACTCAAGTTAGAGATTACTCTCTTCATTGGTTCGTATAAAAATCATATTTTATATAGAAATGTAGGGTCTAAAGAAGGCCATATTCTTGGCTTTAGACAAATTCAACACTAATCACGTCTTGATTTATTACCAACTGTAAGCATTTTAAATAAAACAAGAACAAATTCAAAACCAGTGGATTTCATGTGGGCCCTGCCTAAGCAGCCCGTGCAATCAATTTTTTCTTCTACGCGTTTTCGTCACCTTATTTATTTTCATGCGTTCATATATTTTTTTCATTAATTCACTCACATTTAAACACTTCTCTGCATATATTTATTTTTGCTTCTCCGTTTCTCATTTCTCAAAATTTCAAAATCACATTCTTCTTCTTCATTTTCTCAGTCACTATCACCAATGGCTGAACGAGTCTATCCCACCGATTCACCACCACAAAGCGGACAATTCTCCGGAAACTTCAGCTCCGGCGAGTTTCCAAGAAAACCAACACCACCACCAGCAACATACGTAATCCAAGTCCCAAAAGATCAGATCTACCGTATCCCACCACCGGAAAACGCCCACCGCCTTCAACAACTCTCTCGTAAAAAAAACAATCGCAGTACCTGCAGATGCTGTTTCTGCTCATTCCTCGCCGCGATTTTCATCTTAATCGTCCTCGCCGGAATATCCTTGGCGATTCTCTACCTAATATACCGTCCCGAAGCTCCAAAATACTCTATCGAAGGATTCACAGTTTCCGGTATCAATCTGAATTCAACATCTCCGATTTCGCCGAATTTTAACGTTACCGTTAGATCGCGTAACGGTAACGGTAAAATCGGGGTTTATTACGAGAAAGAAAGCTCTGTGGATGTTTATTACAACGACGTTGATCTATGTAACGGTGTTATGCCGGTGTTTTATCAGCCGGCGAAGAATGTAACGGTCGTTAGGTTGGCGTTAAGTGGGTCTAAAATACAGTTGACTAGTGGTATGAGGAAGGAGATGCGTAATGAGGTGAGTAAGAAAACGTTGCCGTTTAAGTTGAAGATTAAAGCTCCGGTGAAGATTAAGGTTGGTTCCGTTAAGACGTGGTCTATGATCGTTAATGTTGAGTGTGATGTAACGGTGGATAAATTGACGGCGCCGTCGAGGATTGTGTCGAGAAAATGCAGTCATGACGTGGATCTTTGGTGATGAATTTGCTCTTTGTCTTTTTTTTTTTAAGAAGAAGAAAATAAGAAAAGAAATGAGTACAGAGGATGTTTTGGATTTGTAGGATTTATTTTCTTTTAAATGTTTTTTTTGGTTCTCTGACTTGCGTTTTTTTTTTTTTTGGAGAACATATAATGTTGTGAATTTGTGATTGTACGGCAGATATTTTCAAATGAGGAAAATTTCCAATATTTTATGTAAGTTGAAAACTTCTTTTTTGACCTGCTCTTGCCTCTGTACACAACCGTTGAAGGGGTTCTGTTAGTTTCTTGTGACTCATCCAGCTCTCTTTCCAACGATCTGGCAAAGGAGATAACATCCTGCAGAGACAAAGCTTTATTTCCATACTTCAAGGTATGCTTCAGCTGATAATATTTTGATGACAAACTATTCAAGAATACGATGACACGAATTTCTTCAGCTACGTATACCACAATCTCTAGACTGTTTAACTCAGCAACAATCTTCAAGAATTCATTCACATTTTCATTAATGGTCTTTGTATCACTCAACTTGAATGAAAAACTTAAGTTGCACATATATCTGATTCAGGAGAAACGTTTCCATATACAGCTTGTTCAAAGTCTCCCACATCTCAGCTGCTGTCTTACAATGATCAATTTTCCTCAACACTACATCACCTACATGAGAGATTATAGTATTCATCGATGAGAAATCATCGATGATGCCTTTAAGTCCAGCTAAACCCAGATGAGCTTTCATCCTTGTTTTCCATAGCGAGAAATCTGAGTTTTCGTTAAAGACCTCAAACGAAGCCTTAAAGTTCGTGTTCATGTTTGCATTCATATCATTCGCCATCACCCTTAAGAACCTAGGGCTCTTATACTACTCTGTTGCGTTTCGATAAACCAAAATTTACTCGATCTCAAGTTCTTTCAAGATCTCACAAACAAATTGTTTAAAGAAAAGAACAAAGAAAGAAATCGAAGAATACGACACACAAGAATTGTTTACCCAGTTTTGTTCACCGATGTGATGAATCTACGTCTTGAGCTGGATTCAATTCATCAATTCACTATAACTAGATAAAACTAGAACTTAAAAAAAATTACAAAGAGAAATTAAGTCTTGGGGATACAAGAAAGAGAGATAGAGAATATATATATATATCTATACTAGTATAATCGCAGCACTTTTTGTGACGGGTGGGTAAAAAAGCTTTCGGGTATATCAGATATCCGACCCATTTTAAAAATTCCTTCACAAAAAATTTGTTGGGTCGGGTTATATTTAACCCAACTCATACACCGGATATTCCATATTTAATAATTTAGATTTTTAGAAGATTTGATTAAGATTTATAATTATGATTCTCCTATCATCTTTGTTTGATTTGTTTTTAACTGTTTTGAATCATCATATAATACATAAAGTAAAAAAAAAAATCAATTTTTTTTCTGCATATACTGTGATTCGAAATTTTAAAAACGGACATATATTATCCAATTGACGAAAATGTGTGTTCAACGTTCTACATCGATTAAAATATTTAGACAATGATTCAGAATCTATCATAAATAAGAACATTAATAAAATAAATGAGTTTTTTGGCGGGATGGGTTTGGCGGGACGGGTTTTTGAATCAACAATAATAAAAGATTAAAATATCATTAATCCGCCGCTTCAATACGGATTTAATCCTTATTTTTTTTAATACAAATCACATAACGGGTTAAGAAATTACGGAACGGGTTATATTTCGGAAATGATTTATATGGCGGACGAATTTGAATCAATATTTATATACCGCTTTAATACGGGTTAAATCCTCAGTTTATTAATAATTATCTCGTGGACTCGTGGTATACCGTTACTTAATAACAATTGTAAACTATAATATAAATAAATATGTTATAAGGAGATACAATTTACAAAATATTTTTATACTAACTTTAAAATTAAATCATCCCGCGGTGTACCGCGGGTTAAAATCTAGTATATATATATATATATATATATATATATATATATATGTTGTGAAACTTATTGTTATCTCATTCCATTCCATGAATAATGATACATATATATAGGCATATAAACCTAGGGTTTTAGAGTACATAATGAATAACCCTGATGGGCTTATTGGACCCGGTTATAAGTCCAATATGATGTATTATAACACTCCCCCTTGGACGGAGTAACCGGACCTGATGGTCAATCGGGATCTCGATAATACGCTGGGGAATGTTGTCTCATTAAAACCTTACCAGGAAAACCCAGTGGGAAAAACCATGGTGAAGGAAAAAGAGTACAACACGCATTACTCCCCCTGATTTGAGCATCACCGTAGATCTCTAAGTCTACGCATTCCTATTTGTTGGATGAGCTTCCGGAGTGTTGAAGCGGGCAATGATTTGGTGAAAAGGTCGGCGGAGTTATCGCATGATCGGACCTGTTGAACGCTGATCGTACCATCCTTCTGCCAATCCGAGGTTGAGAAGAATTTCGGTAGGATGTGCTTCGTCCGATCTCCTTTGATATAACCTTCCTTGAGTTGAGCAATGCAAGCCGCGTTGTCTTCAAACATAACTGTGGGCTCCTTATCTTCTTTCATACCACAATCTGATCGGATGTGCTGAGTCATGGATCGTAGCCAAACACATTCTCTGCTGGCTTCGTGAATGGCCAAAAGTTCTGCATAATTTGATAAAGTGGTAGTGATTGTCTGCTTTATCGATCTCCAAGAGATAGCTGTTCCTCCATGCGTGAACACATAACCAGTTTGAGACTTGGCATTGTGCGGATCTGATTGATATCCTGCATCAGCAAAACCAACTAGTCCATCCTTGTTGTGGTTAGTGTAAAACAGTCCTAAGTCTTTAGTACCTTGAAGGTATCTTAGGAGGTGTTTGATACCATTCCAGTGCCTCTGAGTTGGACATGAGCTGAAGCGAGCTAGGAGGTTCACGGCAAAACAAATGCCTGGTCTAGTGTGACTAGCCAAGTACATTAACGCTCCTACAGCACTGAGGTATGGCTTTTCTGGACCGAGAATTTCTTCATCGTCCTTCTTGGGACCAAATGGATCACTGTCCAATCCTAGGCTCCGGACAACCATTGGGCTGTTCAATGGGTGGGCCTGGTCCATATTGAATCGCTTGAGTACTTTTTCAATGTAAGCCGCTTGATGCACAAGGATTCCTCCTTTAACGTACTCAAGTTGTAAACCCAAACAGAATTTAGTTTTACCTAGGTCTTTCATTTCGAATTCTGCTTTCAAGCAGTCGACTGTTTGGGAGATTTCACCAGATGTTCCGAGGATGTTTAGATCATCCACGTAAACTGCTATGATTACAAATCCTTTGTTTGAGTATTTCTTGATGAAAATGCATGGACTGATGGGATCGTTTTTGTAGCCTTCTCTGATGAGATATTCGCTTAACCGGTTATACCACATACGTCCACTTTGTTTCAGTCCATACAAGGATTTGTTCAGCCTGATGCAGTATTGATCTCGAGATGCATGCTTATCTTTAAGCTCTATGCCATCTGGTAATCTCATGTATATTTCATTGTCCAGGGGCCCATAGAGATATGCGGTGACAACATCCATTAACCGCAAATCTAGATTTTCTCTTATGGCCAGACTTATGAGGAATCGAAAAGTAGTTGCATCCACCACCGGAGAATAAGTCTCCTCATAATCGATTCCGGGTCTCTGTGAGAATCCTTGTGCTACAAGCCGTGTTTTATAACGAACGACTTCACCGAGTTCGTTTCTTTTACGCACAAAGACCCATTTATGGCCCACTGGTTTGACATTGAATGGTGTCCGGATGATCGGACCAAACACATTCCTGAGTTTGAGACTCTTTAACTCCACGTTTATGGCTTCTTTCCATTTTAGCCAGTCTGTTCTATGAGTGCACTCTGTGATAGACGTGGGTTCTAGATCCTCTTGCGTGTTCGCAATATCAAGTGCTACTTTGTATGCAAAGAGTGCATTTAAGTCGACTTCTTTTCTGTTCCATTGGGTTCCAGACATGTTGTAATTGATAGAGATCTCATTGTTATCGATCTCGTCAGAACCTAGAAATTTCTTAACCGCTCAAATCTGTATTTGATCACCGTGTTCTCTCCCGGAGCAAACTGAAAAAGTCTCTGGAAACGCAGAGGATCATCCACATTCCACATTATCTGGACTCTTACAAACCCAGCATGGTTTGAATTCTCATCAAAGTCAACTTCTGCGACGTTTCCCAATCTATTCTCAACACATCTGGCCATTGCGTTGGTAAGGAAAAGCAGAGGGATTCCTTGATTTTGAACCCAAAACGGGATAATCTTCATATCCGCCTCACTGATGTTAGGGAACCACCGGTGAATCGTAAGCATCCAGTCATTAAATGACCACGGTCCACGCCGGAGGACCACATTCATCGCCTCCTCTGTTTTAAACTTGAATTGGACACGGCCTCTGTCTAGAATTCGACCAACACATGAATCCGGAAAGCCCCAAACTCTTGGCATCTGTCCAATCAAAGCACGAAGATTTTGTTTCCGAGGATTCACGGTTGTGACCACAAGCGAGAAGCGGTTCACATGCGCAGCCTGAGAACAGAACTCCGGCGGAAGAGACACCGGTTCATCATCGATCCCTAAGTTGAGATCCTGGACTGATTTGCGAAGTATGTCACTCATCTTTAACAAGATTGGGTAATGCGAAGAGGGTACTGTAGAATTGGAGGGAGAGAGAAGGAGATCAATGGCTTTATAGTATCGGAACCATGGCGGTTTGAATTGGAAGTTATCCTCCGAAAGCAAAGGGAAAAGTAAACTGCCATGGATAACGAACGGCAGAGAATAACCGCCATCAAATTTCAGGGAAAAAGATCGGAATTTGTTGGTCGGAAGAATACTCCGGTGAGGAGAAATGAAAAGGTACGAGTTGCGTGAAAAATCGCCTATGGAATCGCCCTCATAGAGAATCGCCCTTATCAATTTTATTAATTATGATCTTCCAATCAAAAAATTTAGGATATGAGTTTTTGTTGGGTTTTTTTTTTTTTTTCCAATTTAAATAGCGAGGCCTCGTTTATACCTAAAAACCATACAATATATCTAAAACCACCAACAGACCTTCTCCTTCTTCTTTTCCTTCATTCTCTTTTCATTCGTATATGGTTTGCTGACATGAATTGGAGGCTTAACTATCCTTTTCAATTACAACTAACATTTCTTTTGGAGATTTGCCGGCGACGAGAGTAGAGTAGATCTTTGAGAGAAGAACGACAAAGGGATTCAGTGGGTTCTTCGAATTCGTCGTTCTTCTTCTTTGAGAGAGAAAAAGAAAAAATTAAGGTGAATCGCCAAATGCTGTTCTCAAATTCTCTGCTTCATTGTCTATTATTTTATTTGGGCTTCTTCTCTATTTCTTTGACGACCTACTTATAATTGAAATCTTGCCACCAAAAAACAAACAAGAAACTTCCATATAAAAATCCCAAGTCTTTGATAATAATTCCAATCAAAGCAAATCAAATTTGGCAAAAACATAATTAGATTTTCTTGATGATACGAGGAACAACAAGAGAAGGGTATGAACTCTTGATACCAGATAACCAATCTCTAGAGAACAACAAGTCAATCTCAAAACAAAAAAAATCTATTTAGAATTAAAACATCCTAACCTTAAGATCATTTCAGTTCTCTCCCGATCCAATAATCTTCTTGTAGATTGACATAGCAAAGGGACGAAGAGCCATAATAGCAATCTGCAACTGATCTGAGCTGTTGGTTCAGACAGTTTAACGCCCATTCCTCTTGCTGTCAAGTTTTACAAAAGTTGTTACCTTTGTTTGTCTTCCAACAGAGAGGATCTTGATGTCGTATATTGGCTTTGACGAGAATAGCGTAGATCTATGAAAGAAGAACGGCGGAAAGATTCGGTGAATTCTTCAAGTTCTTTGCTCTTCTTCTTCGAGAGAAAAAAAAAAAAGATTAGGGATTCTCTTCGGATTGTCGATTTTGAGGATTTCGGATTAAAAGATCCGACAGTGAAACCCAACATAAATGGATATAGATCCAAATTTAGGTTGGATATGTAATTATGTCCAAAAGTCTAGATTTTATTGTCTTTTACCAATTACTTGAGTTAAAATAAATATCTAAGTAAAAAGAATTTATAACGGGGGCTAAATAGAGAATCTTTTGAGAAGAGGGGCGGACGAGATTAAAGTCCAGTTACAAAAATGGGGCCAAATCGGAAACTTGCCGGAAAAAGGAAAAAAAAAGCTCGTAACTTGTTGATAACCGGAGCAAGAAAGGCAGAGCGAAACCGGCGACGGAAGAATCCGGTTTCCGTCCGGATCTTAACTTTACAGTATAAGTAAAGTTTGTAATCAGTCCAGATTGTGTTTTTCGTTCTCTAACAATTCCATCTCTTCACCGATCACAACGTAACAGGGTCAATCACGAATCCCTTTGTTTTGAACCCTAATTTATTTGATACAAGAGTGAGTCTCTTAGCATCGCCGTAATAAACGAAGGAGAAGTGATCGGAGGTCGAATATGCAGAAAGTTTCAGCCGCAGATGAACTCGAAACTAAACTTGGATTTGGGCTCTTCTCCCAAGGGGAAACGCGCCTCGGGTGGCTACTCACATTTGCATCAGTAAGTGTCTTCGGAGATGCGATATTGCCCGAACATGTGTTTTTGATGTGGTGCTTTTGTGACTACTTCCCTGGTAGTTAGTTAATTCTCTGAATACAGAAAACTTCTCACTGATTGGTTAGTCTACTATGTTGGTTGTTGGCAGTCATCTTGGGAAGATGCCGATACTGGGAAAACCTTTAGTTGTGTGGACCTTTTCTTTGTCACTCAGGTGACCAGCTGTGTTTCTCATTACTACTATGTTAGCTTCTTCTTACCAGTCAGTTGCTCAACCACTCCCTTTTGTTTCTTTTCAGGACGGCTCTTCTTTTAAGACTAAGTACAAGTTCCGCCCTTACTTGTATGCCGCCACCAAAGTATGTTGTCTCTCTCTACTCGACTGTTTTCGAGTATATGTCAACTAAACTGCAATGCCAATATTACAGGACAATATGGAACTGGAAGTTGAAGCCTACTTGAGACGCCGATATCAAACACAAGTTGCTGATATTCAGATTGTTCACAAAGAAGATCTTGATCTTGTAAGTCAGTAAACCATTACTCCTTTTACTAGTTGCAAGTGCTCACTTCCTCATTCTGCGACTTTTGTTAACCTACCTGTTGATTTCTTTCTTTCTTTCTTTCTATACCGAGGACTCATATCAATTACATTTGCTACAACTTTACTTATTTTCCTCTTCTTGCAACTCAAAACTGATCTTGCTTCCATGTGCTGAAATCATCTATCTAGCCTGCCAGTAACTCAAAAAACTTTTGCTAGTAAATGTTTAAAGTGTTTAATGCTTCTTCTTTTGTGGCAGCATTATGCAAGATATGAACGTTTTCAGTACCTCTTATTTAGTTGTCACTTTTGCTAACTTTTTCGTTGACCTACCATACCAATTTGAGTTTCTTGATTTCTTATGTTCATGAGCAGAAAAATCATCTATCTGGCCTGCAAAAAAAATATCTCAAAGTATCATTTGACACTGTGCAACAATTGGTGGAAGTCAAGAGGGATCTGTTGCATATTGTCGAACGAAACCTCGCAAAATTTGATGCATTTGAAGCATACGAATCCATATTGGCTGGAAAACGGTAAGGCAATGTATTTTTCTTCTTATAAATTTTCAGAGTTCTTTCAAATTATATCCCTTGAAACTCTGTTGTTCCTTAGTTATAATTTCCAAGTTTCTTCTCAGGTGTTTCAGATACCCTGATCATTTTTTCTTTATTCTCTTTAATTCTTGGAATGCAGAGAACAACGTCCTCAAGACTGCTTAGACTCTGTGGTGGACCTCCGCGAGTACGATGTTCCTTATCATGTCCGATTTGCAATTGATAATGGTAACCTATTTAGTCAAACTTTTAATCCTGGTTTAGCCCTCAAGGTTGTCAAAACATCATGTGTTCTCGCTGTCCAGATGTGCGTAGTGGGCAATGGTACAATGTCAGTATTTCCAGCACTGATGTCATACTAGAGAAGAGGACGGATCTTCTCCAACGCGCAGAAGTTCGCGTTTGTGCATTCGATATAGAGACAGTAAAGCTTCCATTGAAGTTCCCGGATGCTGAATATGATCAAATTATGATGATATCCTACATGGTTGATGGGCAAGGTTTTCTAATTACTAACAGAGAGGTAACTGCTGCATACATTTGTATTGCATTGGATTTGAACTAATCAATGATGATATATTACATGATGGATGATGACCGTTTCCAAATCATAAACGTAGATAAGCTGCTATATAGCCCTTATGTGCCATAATTTGGATTATTTTGATTGCATTCTTAATCCAAGATAAATCAGATATGATCCATATGAAATTATCCCGCTTGTTTGATTGATTGATGTGTGACTGTAAGACTTATTGTTGTGGACTTATAACGTTTTACTATATAATTTAAAACATGATATTTGATTTTCTTTTTATTAACAATTTTTCATTGGATATATCATCTCTGGTTGATATCTCAGCTCTATCATTTCCCTTAAATATTTGGGCCACTTCAATCTTGTTTGATTATATTTGTAGCATTAACTTTGCACTTATTTCAGTGTGTTGGCAAAGACATAGAAGATCTGGAATATACACCCAAACCAGAGTTTGAAGGGTATTTCAAAGTCACGAATGTTAACAACGAGGTAAAGTAAATTAGCTCTTGATTTGAATATTTGTATCAGAAAGATTGAGGTGCTTGGAATTAAGTTACTTTCTTGGTTTTGATTTGTAGGTTGAACTCCTCCGAAAATGGTTTTCTCATATGCAAGAGTTGAAACCTGGTATTTATGTTACATACAACGGTGACTTTTTTGACTGGCCATTTATAGAACGGAGAGCATCTCATCATGGGATCAAAATGAACGAGGTATCACGTTTCCTTCATTGTGGTATTGCTAACAAAATATTCTGTCTGCATTACTATAAGGAAATATATGATCTACTTGGGAATTCTTTGTGACATTATTCACTGATATTTTGTTGTGACCTTGTGAATGTGCCTCTGCTTAAAACTAGATTAGTAATGCTGCACTTCCTATACTGTCTAGTGAATTATCTTTCACCAGGATGCCTGCTTCTACTTATTATTTGTCTGCTTCCGTGAAGTATAAATTTTCATCTTTTGAATATTGACTGACATGTGTTTTGCGTTTGAATACTGAATTCTTCTTAGAATTGGCAAGGTGGCAGTCATCTACCAAACCTTGGTTCTATTTCAGAAACTTGCATTAGTCCTGTATCTTGCCTTTTTTTTACTCTCTATATTTTCCTCAGTTCCCATCCACAGTACAAATGTGTTTTTTTTTCCTTCCATCGTGGTTGCAGGAGTTAGGATTCCGTTGTGATCATAATCAAGGTGAATGTCGAGCTAAGTTTGTGTGCCATTTGGATTGTTTTTCTTGGGTGAAACGTGACAGCTATCTTCCTCAGGGAAGCCAGGGTCTGAAGGTTCATTCTATTTCTTTCTTTTCGCCATTATTTTTCTTTTGTGGAGGAATTCATATTATGATTCTGAGTGGTGCTTGCCTCTTAACTAAATGCCAGGCTGTTACAAAGGCAAAACTGGGTTACGATCCACTGGAAGTGAATCCTGAGGACATGGTTCGGTTTGCAATGGAAAAGCCACAGGTATTGCTGATTAATTAATAAAATGCTATTTCTGTGTGACAAAGTTTTTTAGAATCAGAGCTAGTTGTTTGATGGCGCTGAAATGGGCTAGAGTAACATATTTGATCAAGTAATTTAACTAATTACCTTATTAAGGGTTGAAACTTGTTAAACTCAGTGTCTTATCGTACACAACATTTAACAGCGGATGTAGATGATACAGTTGATATTTTTCTAGTCCATGCTGTAATTGTGCAAGATGCTGCATAGAATTGGGAGCTTATATCTTATTTCTGTTTCATGTTGGGAATCTTCTTGCAGACAATGGCCTCCTACTCTGTCTCTGATGCTGTTGCAACTTACTACCTATACATGACATATGTCCATCCGTTCGTTTTTTCTCTCGCAACTATCATTCCAATGGTCCCTGATGAGGTTTTACGCAAAGGGAGTGGCACCCTTTGTGAAATGCTTTTGATGGTTGAGGTGACTTCCTATCTACTACAAAGATATTTAGAAATTCTTGCTGTGTGGCTCATTCTATTAATTGGAAATATTTCATTCCCAGCACAGGCTTACAAGGCAAATGTTGTATGTCCCAACAAAAATCAAGCTGACCCTGAGAAGTTCTACCAAGGTAAACTTCTTGAAAGCGAGACATATATTGGTGGCCATGTAGAGTGCCTCCAAAGTGGTGTTTTCAGATCTGACATTCCAACCAGTTTTAAGCTCGATGCATCTGCATACCAGGCAAATTATCTTCTTTTTATTTTACTTAATAATGCTAGTTGGTCTTTCTTACTGGTTGCTGAACACCACTTTTTTCCTGATATAGTTTATAGTAATCTCATATAAGGTGGTGCAGTTTATAGTAAAACGTTTGTAGTCTATAATGGATGCCTGAGGCATAAATGCTCCATTTTCTTCTGCGCACGATTGCATCATAGCTAATTTACGCACCTATCTGATATTGGACACTTTGATTGCCAGCAACTGATCGATAACCTTGGTCGGGATCTGGAATATGCTATCACTGTTGAAGGAAAAATGAAAATGGATTCAATTTCCAATTATGATGAAGTAGAGGATGTAATCAGGGAAAAGGTAATGAATTCCTCTTCTGAATTAGGACAGAGGTTTAATGCTCGTTCCCTTATTTCTCTTGTCTTTTTGAATGGGTGACAATGCATGCGCATTTCAATCTGGGAGAGTTTGCCTATACACTCTAAGAACGTAGTAAGTCCTTAGACTACTATTGTTTGGGCCTCCAGAAGAAATGTGTTTATCAAGTGTCCTTCATCTACAGTAGTTGTCACCAACTAGACATCTGCATGCTTTGATATTGTAAAGCAGACCATAGAACCTTCTAGATTTATGAATTATATCTCCCTTTGTGTTACCTGATTCCGGACGAAGTCTTAGTTCCGCCATGGTTTGGCGGTTTCATTATTGATCTCTGCAGCTCGAGAAGTTACGGGATGATCCTATACGTGAAGAGGGGCCTCTTATTTATCACCTTGATGTCGCGGCGATGTATCCAAATATCATCTTAACAAACAGGCTTCAGGTACATCAATTCTCAGTTAAATGATTGTGTGCCATATACAAATGAATCACAATCATTACTTTTAAGATTACAAAGCCCGCAGATATATTATGTTAAGTGGTAGGTTTCTTCTTAATTGTCAGCCACCATCAATAGTTACGGATGAGGTTTGCACAGCATGTGATTTCAACGGCCCGGAAAAGACCTGTCTTAGAAAACTTGAATGGGTTTGGCGTGGGGTGACGTTCAAGGGAAATAAAAGGTTTAGCTTATTTTATATTCCAGCTAAGTATGGATTTAAACCTTGTTGATCTAGTCTTAAGATCTTAACTTTGTTTTCAAATGGTTTGACAGTGAATATTACCATCTGAAGAAGCAGATTGAGTCTGAATCTGTTGATGCTGGTGCAAATATGCAGTCTTCAAAACCTTTTCTTGATCTGCCAAAGGTGGAACAACAATCCAAATTAAAAGAACGACTGAAAAAATACTGTCAAAAGGTACTCTTCTCTCTCCCTTTCATAATAATATTTTCCGTACAGTGTCAATGTATAACGGTAAGTCATTCTGGTTTTGGCAGGCATATAGCCGAGTACTTGACAAGCCATTCACTGAAGTTCGCGAGGCTGGGATATGCATGAGAGAAAACCCGTTCTATGTGGACACTGTGCGTAGGTGTGTGGCTTTTGTTATTACCAATCTTATTCTTGATTGACACTCTGTTTGAATGTTTAGTCTTTTATGAAGCAATGACACTCTGTTTGGACGTTTAGTCTTTTATGAAGCAATCTCTTTTGATAATAATGGTGGAAACTTTAGCCAAGTCCTAACTACTTTTTCCATATTGCTGTTTTATTTTTTTCAAATTTTTTATTGGTGTTTATGCATGTAATTATAGCTTTCGAGATAGGAGGTATGAATACAAAACACTTAACAAGGTCTGGAAGGGAAAGTTGTCAGAGGCCAAGGCAAGTGGCAATTCAATCAAGATCCAGGAAGCACATGTAAGTTATATCTTATATCCTTGGAACTTATTTTTGACTGATGGCTATCTGACATCAAACTTCTGCAACAGGACATGGTAGTGGTTTACGATTCCTTGCAGCTAGCTCATAAGTGTATACTTAATTCCTTTTATGGATATGTCATGCGAAAGTGAGCCCTCTGATTTCTTGCAAAGAGCCTGGAATTTAGTTATATTTACATCATCATTTTTGTATTTTGGTTGACCTGAAAGCTTTACTTGAAACCTGATTACAGGGGCGCAAGATGGTACTCCATGGAAATGGCTGGTGTAGTTACTTATACTGGAGCCAAAATCATCCAGAATGCTCGTTTGCTTATTGAGCGAATTGGGAAACCACTTGAGCTGGATACAGATGGTATATGGTGTGCTCTCCCTGGATCTTTTCCTGAGAACTTTACTTTTAAAACGATGTAAGGTTTTGCAATCTGTATGATTTAGATGTTTTTATTATATAAGATATTTGAAAGAGTTTTGTATTTTCCATATCTTTTAAGGTGGAATTACATTTCTTGTGGTTATGAAGACGTTCAATAAACTTTCAATCATGTTTTGTTTATTGCAGAGATATGAAGAAATTCACCATCTCGTATCCGTGTGTAATACTTAATGTTGATGTGGCGAAGAATAATTCAAATGACCAATATCAGGTATCCCGATCTATACATTTCCCTAAAAGTAGTTTTTGTTTTCAATTTTGTCAATAGGCAGAATGATATAACAAAGAATTTGAGTTTCTGAAAGCTTTTTGCTTTGATTATTGGTTTTGGAACAGACTCTAGTAGATCCTGTACGAAAGACATATAATTCACATAGCGAATGCTCAATTGAATTTGAAGTGGATGGACCGTACAAGGTATGCCTTATAAATGCTATGACTTTTTGACGTGTGCTGCCCTTTGATATGCTTGACAAAAATAATATCTCTAACACTCTACATCCAGGCAATGATTATTCCTGCATCCAAGGAAGAGGGAATCTTAATTAAGAAGCGGTATGCTGTTTTCAATCATGACGGAACCATAGCAGAACTCAAGGGGTTTGAGATGAAGCGTAGAGGAGAGCTGAAACTCATTAAAGTTTTCCAGGTATCATTGGCTTTTATTGAGGCTTCATTGTTCAAAAAAAAAAAAAGGGATTTAGAAATCTCTGTTATATGAAAAAATGTATTTTCCTTAAACATCTCCATCTTTTTTTATTGGATTCTTGTGTTAACAAGCTTATTAAAAATATGGACTGCGTAATGTAGTAAGACGTTCATGATTTGGTAGTTTACCAAGAAAATAAGCAGAGTTTGACTTGATAAATGTACATGTGTAGTGTCTCAAAAACTTGGATGTCAGCTAAGTTTGTTCTTTTCCTTTTATTTTACTTTACACTTCATGGATCTTTCCTTTTTCTACAGGCCGAGCTATTTGACAAATTTCTGCATGGATCAACCCTTGAAGAGTGTTATTCTGCTGTTGCAGCTGTTGCAGATCGTTGGCTTGACCTACTCGAGGTATATCAAATATCTTGTTTCTGGGTTTTGAGAAGGAAGATTTATTTCTTCTTTACAACCGTGTTATTTTGCTGACAAGTTTTCCTTCAGGGTCAAGGAAAATATATTGCCGATAGTGAATTGCTAGATTATATATCAGAATCAAGCACTATGAGCAAATCGTTAGCAGATTATGGTCAACAAAAGTCATGTGCAGTGACCACAGCAAAACGCCTGGCTGATTTTCTTGGTGATACAATGGTCAAAGATAAAGGACTGCGCTGCCAATACATCGTTGCTCGTGAACCAGAGGTACATTTTCTGTCAAATTTAGAAATTTCATGGAACTTTTTGCCCTTCTTCGTTGACGTCTAGTCAATGATTACGACAGTGGCTTGCATTACTGAATAATATCTACTGTAGGAAGCTCTCTTGGTTAGGAACGCTGCTGATATTTACATGATCTCTTATTCAAGAATGTTGCTCACGTCTCAGTATTTTACTGTTCGTTAAGCATCTTGCTCAGCTATTCTAGCATAAGTGTCTCATTCACACTGTTCATAGTATCTTTAACTCTTATGACTTACCAACTTTTTCATGATTAGGGGACACCTGTAAGTGAACGTGCTGTCCCTGTTGCCATATTTAAAACGGATGATCCTGGTAAACATTCCGTTGTTTGAGTATGTATTGTTGCATTCTTAACGTTCAAATGTGATGTAACTATTCTAAATTTACAGAAAAAAAGTTTTATCTGCAAAAATGGTGCAAGATATCATCATATACTGGAATCCGTTCAATTATTGACTGGAGGTATTACAAGCAGCGTCTTCATTCAGCTATTCAAAAAGTTATTACCATTCCTGCTGCAATGCAGAAGGTTCATTGTGACTTCTATTTTCACTCCTTTTTATCTGTGTCTTTGTTTAGTGTTAAAAAACATCTAACCACTTATATGACCTCTATAGGTGGCAAATCCTGTACTTAGGGTGCGTCATCCTAATTGGCTCGAGAAAAAGGTCTCTGACAAATTTCGTCAGGGAAAAATAGTTGATATGTTTAGCTCAGCAAACAAAGATGGTGTCTTGGACAAAAATCATTCGACAACTCAAGATAATGTACTGGCGGATATTGAAGATTTTTGCAAAGAAAACAGACCTTCCGTAAAAGGGCCAAAGCCAGTTGCGCATTCATATGAAGTCGATAGAAATCACTCTGAGGGTAAGCAGCAAGAGAGTTGGGATCCAGAGTTCCATGATATCTCATTTCAGAACGTTGACAAGAATGTAGATTACCAAGGATGGCTTGAACTGGAAAAAAGAAAATGGAAAATGACTCTAAAGAATAAGAAAAAAAGAAGGTACTTTTTCGTTAATGATAATTATTCTCCTGAAGTTTATTTGGTTTTGATTTGGAACAAAATGTAGGTCAATAAATATACTCTTATGAAAAGTTTCTTAACTTGTCGACACTGTGTATCTCTTCCTTGTGTAGGTTTGATGATCTAAAGCCTTGTAATCAGATTGATGCTCACAAGATAAATAAAAAAGTCTGTAAGGGAAGAGCAGGTGTAGGCTCATACTTTAGGAGGCCTGAAGAAGCTTTGACTAGTTCCTATTTGCAGGTATGCATGACATTTGGTGAGACCTCATTATGTTTATATAATTGGCTTATCTTTTGCAACCATGTTAAATGTTGTCTTTCCGAGTTTCTCAGATAATACAGTTGGTCCAAAGTCCACAGAGCGGGCAATTTTTTGCTTGGGTTGTTGTGGAAGGATTGATGCTTAAGATCCCATTGACGATCCCAAGGGTGTTTTACATTAATTCCAAAGCTTCTATAGCTGGAAACTTCACGGGAAAGTGTATCAACAAGATTCTTCCTCATGGAAAGCCTTGTTACAATTTGATGGAGGCATGTCTTTTACACAATACACATCTTGCTTCTTGTATTTTTTCTAGTTAGTTATAATTTTTCTTTATTTCTTTACAGGTCAATATTCAGGAAGATCAATTTAAAAAAGAAAGCAAAAAGCTTGCCGCTCTACTTGCAGACCCCGAAATTGAGGTGTGTTTATTACTATTATTATTAAGTAATCTAATAAAATGCCATCAGAATCCCAACCTTTGAGTCTATCGAATACCCTTCACATGCCTTCACTGTTAAACAAGAAAAAACTTCACTGTTTTAACGATTAATTCTTTGATTTCATTTTGACTTTGGCAGGGCATATATGAAACTAAGATGCCTCTGGAGTTTAGTGCTATATGTCAGATTGGATGTGTATGCAAAATTGAAGACACGGCCAAACACCGTAACACCCAAGATGGATGGAAACTTGGTGAACTTCACAGGATAACTACAACTGAGTGTCGCTACTTGGAGAATTCAATTCCACTTGTTTGTTTGTATCACAGGTAGAGCTTCATTTTAGGATGGTCTTGCTTGTGAATTTTCATCAATGTTCGAGTGTTAACATCATGTCTACTTTTGTAGTCATATTATTTTGAACTTTTTTTTTGTCTCTTTTATTCTCTGGGCATATGCTATTTGGCTTAATTTATTTGATTCTCTATTATCTTATATCATGGTTTCCTTCGTTTTGCAGCACCTCAACAGGTCGTGCTATTTATGTTTTATATTGTCATGCTTTGAAGCGTATGTCTGTTGTGGTAGTCAATCCTTACGGTGACAAGGAATTATTATCATCTGCCCTAGAGAGACAGTTTAGAGATAGTTGCCAAGAATTGTCACTTGAGCCATTTTCTTGGGATGGTATCCTTTTCCAGGTAAGCTCTAAAATATGTACAAGCCGTGCGATAACAGTCCTGCATTTTTCAAGCTTGTCTAATGCTAATCATCAGGTCGAGTATGTTGACCATCCAGAAGCTGCCAAGAAAAATTTACAAAAAGCGCTCTGTGAATACAGGTATCATTTCCCTGAATAGTGCAGCAGATTTTACGAAACACATAATTTTTCTAATGCTGATCAGTTGGGCATGCTTTTTCCTATTGTAATTTGTTCCTGCATGATCTAGTTCTTCTTCATAAAACTTCTTGAATTAGAAAAATTCTGCAAAGTTAATTGTCAAAAAAAACAAAAAGAGTGTGACAATGACGGATTTTGGACTTCTCTAAGACGCTCATGTCGGTCAGGTCATCACACACTCTGGTTTGAATTTTTCCCATTGTTACCTTTTCCTGCAGAGAAGAAAATTGTGGACCAACTGTGGCAGTCATTGAATGCCCTGACTTTAACACCATGAAGGAAGGTGTAAAGGCCCTGGACGATTTCCCATGTGTGAGGATTCCCTTCAACGACGATGACAATAGTTATCAGGTTCCTTGACATATCAACCGATCGGCTTCATTCTTATGTTATGATGAACTTTAATTTGATCAAGTAATGCTAAATATGTACGTGTTGGATGTGGTTGTGATGCATATAGCCTGTCTCCTGGCAACGTCCAGCAGCAAAAATAGCAGTGTTCCGTTGTGCTTCAGCAATTCAGTGGTTGGATCGGAGGATTGCCCAGTCAAGATACGCCCATGTAGGTTACGGTTTGTAAAGTGGAAATGTACTTCTTCATATTAGTGTCTTTATGCAGTTATTGATATTTCCTAAACAACTGACTAGGTGCCTCTGGGGAATTTTGGACGTGATTGGTTAACGTTCACAGTAGATATCTTCCTGTCCAGGGCACTCCGTGACGAGCAACAGGTTCTTTCTTCGACTTTCTGTCCAGATAATTTTCCATAAGAGTTCCACTAATCTTGATCTGTGCCTCTACAGCTTCAAAATTATATTCCTCAGACCTTGACAAAAGGCTATTCTCTCATGTATCACTGATCTTTTTTCCATATCATTGAATTTGGTATTGTATTACAGGTTCTTTGGGTCTCAGATAATGGTGTTCCAGACCTTGGAGATATAAACAATGAAGAGACATTTCTAGCTGATGAGGTATGTCATCAAATTGTTTATATTTTTTGCATTTTGGTTTATGTGGATTTTTTTTTCTCTTTTTCGTTTATGTGGATTTTTCTTTTCTTTGTTACAGTTACAACAGACAAGTTTGCTATTCCCTGGAGCGTACAGAAAAGTGTCTGTGGAGTTAAAGGTCATATAACCCTTTTTTCCTTAATCACGCGTGCTTTTTGGAATTTTATCGTAAACAACATGCATCATGCAGGTCCATAGATTAGCTGTTAATGCCCTTCTGAAAAGTGACCTGGTGAGTGAAATGGAAGGAGGCAGCTTTTTGGGATTTGAACAAGGTGTGAATTCTAGAGGAAGTAGCTTAAACGATAATGGCAGTTTTGATGAGAATAATGGATGTGCGCAAGCATTTCGTGTCCTGAAACAATTGATCAAGCGCTTGTTGCATGATGCGTGTAAGTCTGGCAATATATATGCTGATTCCATTTTGCAACATCTGTCTTGGTGGCTCCGCAGGTATCATTATATCACATCCTGCTACTACATATTCAATTTATTCTTGAGTTGTTAGATACCAATCAGTAATTTCATATTTTACGTAGCCCTTCCTCAAAGCTTCACGATCCAGCTCTCCATCTCATGCTTCACAAGGTAAATGACATTTAATGTTTTGTGCTTTTAATATGGTATAAATGGGTTGTCTGAATCTTTCTCTATCAACTCATTTAGTCGAATCTGTAGCTTACAAGTTATATCTCCTTGCTTCAGTATCCCTGTCATAACTCATAATTTCCAAATCAGCCTTAAGATCTTGAGATATGTGATTACATCCACGTCTTTTGCATTCAAGATTTCTTAATCCATTTGACATATTGCGGTTTTTCTGAATATTGTAGGTCATGCAAAAGGTGTTTGCGCTGCTTTTGACTGATTTGCGGAGGTTAGGTGCTATAATAATATACGCAGACTTCTCAAAGGTCATTATCGACACAGGGAAATTTGATCTATCTGCTGCTAAGACTTATTGTGAAAGCTTGCTCACAGTGATGGGGAGTAGGTTGGTTTTCTTCATTCCCCAGTATATACTTCTATGACTAAATCTCTAATGGACCTCATTTTCATGTCTTATGCTTTGCCACCGACAGAGATATCTTTAAGTGGATCTTGCTTGAGCCGGTTCACTACTGGCACTCGTTACTTTTCATGGACCAGGTTGGCGTTCTTATGTCTTATACTTCCCTCTTGTATTATCTTTTCAACTACATGGTTAAATGAACTACAACTGAGAAGTAAAATCTACTAAATTTCCATCTACCTTCATGAGTTCTTGTGTTACCTTTTTCATAATATTTTTCTCTTATCGTGACAAACCATTTCCTTAACATTGTAGCATAACTATGCTGGTATCCGAGCTACCGAAGATGAAATTTCAGGTGATGAAGTGACTATTGAACCAAAGTGGAGCGTTGCACGGCATTTACCCGAGTATATTCAGGTTTGCAGACAGATGATCCCTAATGTTCATTATTAAGCTAAGCGGCGTGGACCATTTCATCTTGAACGCTTATGCATCTCATCTATCTTGGCAGAAGGATTTCATCATAATTGTTGCCACGTTTATATTTGGCCCCTGGAAATTTGCATTAGAGAAAAAGTGGGGCAGTGCAGAGAGTTTAGAGGCAGATATGGTAGAATATCTCAAGGAACAGGTAGCCTTAAAGTCAATTTACTTGGTTCTTTGTTTCATTCACTCAAATTTTTTGTCTCATATATATATTTTCACTTTGTTTGACAAAAAAAAAAAAATATATATATATATATATATATATATTTTCACTTTATGCAGATAGGAACCCGGTTCATAAGCATGATTGTTGAGAAGATTGGTAATATCAGGTCACACATGATGGATATAAACGTGTCAGATGCATCTTGGGCTTCTGGTCAAGCTCCCAAAGGAGATTACACGTTCGAATTTATACAAATTATTACTGCTGTTCTGGCTCTTGATCAAAACGTTCAGCAAGATGTTCTGGTATATTCTCCATCTTTACCTGATGCTGGTTCAGTTTTGCTATGAAGTCTGAACAAATCTCTCTCAGTTTTTTGTTTCTTAGAAAAAGTCCCATTGAAGCATTGTTTGTCTTTATGGTCTGAGAGCCTCTCTGTATCTGATTTCATTCACCATTCCAACCTAAACTTTTGGAAATCTGGTTCTTTGGTTCTTTGGTTCTTGAAACTATGTTAAGCAGTAAAGCTGGATAACTGATTTCTTCTGTGTAGGTAATGAGAAAGAGTCTGTTGAAGTACATTAAAGTAAAAGAATGTGCTGCTGAAGCCGGATTTATTGATCCTGGGCCATCCTTCATCTTACCCAACGTGGCTTGCAGGTATATATTACTTGACCAAAAGAAATGCTCAATTCCCGTGATTGAGCTGTATGCATTGTGGGTGATTCGCTACATCTAGTTAATAGATAAATAGCTTTCTGAAGTCCAGTTTTCTTCGGGCCACTAGCTCATTAGAAAAACAAATATCACATGCTTTAGAGGGTAGAGACTTCCTTGCACACCCCTTTCTGTGATCGTGGTGTAACAAGAAAAAAATAGAAAAACGTGTAGAAACCACTGAATCCCAGACAATAATGTACTTGTACTTTGTTTTTGACTCTCTTTGTAGAAAAACGTGTAGAAACCACTGAAACACAATAGGTATCTCAAAGGCATACCTATTGTGTTTCAAATACTTGACTCTCTTGCAGGAGTAACCAGTAAGACAGCTGTGAATGCCTAGTGTTAATTTTTTTTTTTCCCTCGTTGCAGCAACTGCGGTGCCTACAGAGACCTAGATTTCTGCAGAGACCCAGCTCTATTAACAGAAAAAGAATGGTCATGTGCGGATCCGCAGTGTGGGAAGATATATGACAAAGAGCAGATGGAGAATAGCCTTGTCCAGATGGTGAGACAGAGGGAGAGAATGTACCAGTTGCAGGATCTAGTGTGCAATAGGTGCAATCAGGTGAAAGCCGCTCATTTGACAGAGCAGTGTGAGTGTTCTGGATCCTTTAGATGCAAGGAGAGTGGTTCAGATTTCCACAAGAGGATGGAGATTTTCTTGGATATAGCAAAGCGCCTGAAGTTTAGACTGCTAGAAGAATGCATCTCCTGGATTTTATTTGCCACCAGCTGTTGACAAAACAATAACATTAGTGTGTATTAATAATATTTAAATGGAAACTTCTGACATAAGTTAACAAAGCCGGGCACGGCTTTCTCTCTCTAAAAATCTTTCAAAGAGAGAGAAAGCTTTTTCATCGTTAGTTTTGCCGTCTGGATCCATTTCCAGCTTTCCTTCTAGCATCATCTGATTTCTATATCGGTGGTGGCTGGCTATATGACCGGCTTATATAGCGGCGTTGGCTGGCTTTTGGTTATTATGGCGTTATCTCTCCGTGTTTCAATAATCTCATTGGTTATGTGTTGGCGGAGGCGTTTTAGGCGATTAGTCGCTTAACGGTGTTTCTTTTCCGGCTCTTTCCTTTGATCTACCGGTTTACAGAAACTCATCAGAGTTTGGTAACTAAAGTTGAAGAAAAGAAGAATTTTCCGTCGCTTATTTTAATTTGCCTTTAGCTGTTAATTTTCTGGAGCTTCGATTGGTTTAGCAAAAACTTGTGAATTAATCAGATTTAGTTTTCTCTTTATCCGTTTTCGTAGGATCTCAATTAACTTTTTGAGGTTTTTGGCGGAAAAGTTTAATCGATCTGTATTATATCTTTCCATCTATTGTGTAGTTAACGGTGAAGAAACAAAAGAATCAAAGTTCGATATATTCGGCGATGATTTCTTTTCACCGGAATCTGTAGCTCATACAGCGGAGGTTGTTGTCGGAAAGCTTAAGATTTTTCCTCCAACACGTGTATTTGCAAATCCAGCTAACGTCACGTGTCTCTGGGTGGAATCACGATATCCCATCTTCTTTAGGCGGTGCCCTTGTTGGACTCGTTTTGGGCATCAAGTAATATATATGTAAACCTTTTTTGTAAGGCCTTCTGTTATTTTGGCCCTTGTATGGTTTGGTATCTTATTATATAAAGTATGTTTTTCAAAGTCAATAACTCATAGGATCGTGACATGTGACAATTTTATCGATCTCAAGTTTTGATATGTGTAAAACGAAATTTTTTTTTTTATTTATTTTTTATAAAAAATATAAGAAAATTATACGCACATGTCAAATCCAAAAAAATATATGTTTAGAAAAAAAATATATAAGAAAATTATACGTATATATCTTATATCAAACAAAAATAAAATAAAAATTAAATTAGAAATTTAAGAAAAAAAAATTATAAGGAAACTATACATAGATAGCTTTTTTTTTTTTTGTCGTCTAGATTTATTATTAATTGCAAATTATGAGAACTGTTACATAGACGATTCTACAACTGACAATTTCTTCCGACCCTTACTAGATCCACGACAGACTACACTTCTTTCTTCATGATCTTGATGAATACCTTCAATGATCCACGACCTGGCGATACTTCCTTCTTTGCGTAGAATCATGGCGAGCGGCTATAATTGTACATCGCTGGAGATCTCTTGCACACTTTCCTCCATTAATCTGCAAATTTGTTAATAAATCGCAATATCTGGGACTCGAACCCCATACCTCTTTGTGTAGAAGCATTAATCAACATTTGGTCAACCAATGGGCCAAAGGGGCTTCCACATACATAGATAGCTTATAACAAATAATTTTTTTAAAGTAGAAAAAATAATTATAAGGAAACTATATGTATCGTATTGAATAAAAATAGAAATTAAAAAATTATTTACTAATTCTAATTTAAATGTACTAATTCTAAAAGAAAAAGATTACTTTTTCCTTAATATTAAAAAAGATTTATGAAGTTATACAATCTTATTATATACTATGATAATTAAGAAATATTATGATCAATTATTAATCCTAGAAGAAAAAGGATTCTAAATAATCACCTCTATAGATAGACAAATAGATAGATAGACAAATTAAGAATATATGGCGATTGAGGCAAATTAAGAATTATGAACGACGATGGACTTAAAATAGAGTTTTTGTCGAAGAAACTCGACCTGATATCGGAAGAGATAACAAAGGTGGAGAAGTAAGAGCAGTTAGACAAAGAGGGGAAGATGGAGTAACGGTGGTGTTGGTGTTGATGGCGGTGGTTCAAGCTTGGTGGTGGTGGTGGTAAATGTTGATGAAGATGGTGGATCAGAATGAGCGAGATTTAGTATTGATGGTGATGATGATTGTGATAGTTGTGAGATTCAGCTGTGGTGGTGGCCAGGTGGGTCGGAGTAGTGAGACTTAGTGGTGGTGCCTGACGAAGGAGAGATATAGTGATATGGAAAAAGAAAAAAAAATTTGGTGGTGTAGAAATCCAACGAGAGAGAGAAAAAAAAAAAAAAAAGAGGAGATCGAGCAAAAAGTAAGAGAAATCTAATGAGAGAAAAATAGAGATTTGAGACTTCTCGCCGGCGAGATGAAAGAAAAAATAGACCATGAATAACTAATGAGTAATATGGGCTAAAAATTGACAAAAACCATGTAGCAAATAAACTTTGTTTAGTTAATATTATTTTCTTAATTCTTTTTTAGTCTTAGGTTATTAAGTGCAAATTTCCTAATTCTTTATGAATTTGTCTTTTTGTTTTGAGGATTTATCATATTATCAAGTACAGTTACATGATGTGAATATAAACTGTCTCATATTGTCACAATTTTTTTTTCCATCATGCCCACATTGAAAATTAGAAAGTGTTATACGCTCTTCCGATATGGATGTAGATAATTTATTAAAATTCAATAATACACATATGAACATTTATTAAATATCATACTGTAACATATAATGAACAAAAGTACAAATAGTATTTTGTATTGCACATTATGCATAATTAATCTATATTAAAAAATAATGAAAATCCTACATTTTCTAAAATTTAAACATATTTTTATATAATTTTAGTTAAGCCTACAAAAATAAAAATTAAAAATGACAATTTCGACCGGTAACCCGTGCAACGCACGGGTCCATATCTAGTAATTAATAAAGCGAAACACTTATGAGAAAAAAAAAAAGTTAACAAAGCCAAAAATATTATCATTATTATTACTACTAGAAGAAAATCCGGGCTACGCCCGGGTAATACTTATACCAGTTTAGTTAAATTTTTTAACAATGTGATGTTATGTTATTTCTAACATTTGAACAAAAGAAATATTAGATACTATTAATTGTTTAGTGTCATCTATCAATTTTTTTTGTTTATTGTAGTTTATATTTACAAATTTTTAAATTAAGTTTTACTTCTTATTACTATCAGTCTACGTAGTATTATTTTAAACTCTATCCTTCTCTTAAATTATTTTCGTATCGATTTTTTCATTTCTCGTATTATTCATTTTAATCTTTTCACACTATGCCAGATGGGTTATGATTTTTTTTTTTTGTTTTCTTTTGTATAGTGTTTGACTACTTTCATTTATTTATAACAGTTTCTCTTGCTTTATACAAGCTAATTCTCCAAGAGTCCAAGTGATCTAACATTAACTCTCTATGTAACCGCTTGTCCTTTCTAACTTTTTTAGTTTTTAACACCTTCAAGCTTTTGGAAATCAATTTTCTGGACATGTTATTTATTCATTTATGTATCTTACTTACAAACTTCTCAAAAGCTGAAAATTTGTAGAAGAAACCAAAAGTGCAACCACAACGGCCATAGAATTACAATATATATGGTTGTATTCCAATAACAATAAAAAATCTTCAGTTAATGCTAATATAACTTAGACTACATGTAATCGTTAAAGAAGGGAGTTGAGGGGTTATGCAAGTAGCGAGGGAGTAGACTTTCCCTGAAATCAACATTTACGAATGTGCTTAGCAACCCCCATTTTGCTAATCTCATTTCAAAAATTGCTTTTACACTTTCTCCTGCTCTATTGTTTCTCTCACACAAGTACATGCGATCATACTACAATGTAGTAAAATCAGATCACTTGTAACTATATTTTTCCCTGTAGATGACAACCTCCTAGACGAATATAAACATGACCCAAAATCTTAGCAGACAATTATCATAATTTCATAAGCTTTGTAAGCCATGTCAAACTGAACAATTTAAGGAAACATGTAAAACACCAGAAGAAAGAAAGTCACTCTTAGAACAATTTAAAATTAAAATATTGATTGGAACTAAAACTATAAGAAAACTAAACGACAACAAATTATTGTTAACGACGAACAATGAAATAGCTGAATGAGTGAATTCCATCCATTTCACGAAAATTTGAAACGTGAATGGCTGGGGAGAGGGCTGAATTTTATTTGTTGACATGCTTTTATTTTGGTGACTTGTTGGAGCTTTTTGGTTTGCTTGTATGCTCGGCTTTTATAGGGTAGATTTTTGAAAGAGGTATTGGCTTCGGAGATAATGGCCATTAATTTGTTTAGATGTCAATTGGTGTGAATAAATGGAAGATTGAAGATGACGAAGTGGAAAGGCTGTCAGATTTGATAACGGTCGTGTAGTTGTGTTCTTAGAAAAGTGAATCGATTCAAGGACTTATGTGAGAAACTGTAGTGCCGTAGGATGATTAATTGATTATTGTTATAATACATCATATTGGACTTATAACCGGGCCCAATAAGCCCATCAGGGTTATTCATTATGTACTCTAAAACCCTAGGTTTATATGCCTATATATATGTATCATTATTCATGGAATGAAGAGAGATAACAGAAAGTTTCACAACACGTTATCAGCACGACCGAGCCGAGCCGACCGATCCCATGGACTACGAGATCTCAGATCTCCTCGATTGATTCTATCATCTGAACAGTTGCTAAGATCACACTTGGCCATAAACAAGTCCTCGAGACTATACTCGCATTATCTACTGGCCTTTACTATGCTAAGGTCAGTATGATTGAGGCTAATAATGCTCTCAAAGCCCGATTCCAAGACTACACTATTTGGCACGACCGGCTTGGTCATCCCGGTACGACCATGATGCATAAATCAATCCAAAATTCTCAAGAACACACCCTTGGAGAAAACCGAGTCTTCCCTCAGCACCTCACGTGCATAGCTTGCATAGCTTGCTCCCAAGGGAAGTTGATCACTCGGCCTTCACCAGTAAAAGTGTCCAAAGAGACATTGCATTTTCTGGAAAGAATCCAAGGAGATATCTGTGGTCCCATTCACCCACCTTCTAGGACATTCCGGTACTTCATGGTACTAATAGATGCTTCGACCCGTTGGTCGTATGTATGCCTATTGTCTTCTCGGAACCAAGCTTTTGCTAGGTTGTTGGCTCAAATCATCAGATTACGAGCCCACTTTCCAGACTTCCCACTAAAGACTATACGTCTTGATAATGCTGGTGAATTCACTTCCCAAGCGTTTAATGATTACTGTATGGCCATGGGGGTGACCGTTGAACATCATGTGGAACATGTCCATACTCAGAATGGACTTGCTGAATCATTCATTAAACGAATCCAATGGATTTCTCGACCATTACTCATGAGGTCGAAACTCCCGGTCTCAGCTTGGGGACATGCAGTATTACATGCTGCTGAACTAATACGCATCCGACCATCTAGTGAGCATAGATATTCCCCATCCCAATTATTACAGGGTCATGAGCCAGACATCTCCCATCTCAAAACATTTGGGTGCTCAGTCTATGTACCCATTGCTCCACCACATAGAACCAAAATGGGACCTCAAAGGAGGATGGGAATATATGTTGGTTTTGATTCTCCCACCATCATCAAATATCTCGAGCCGACCACTGGAGACCTATTTAAGGCCAGATATGCGGATTGCCAATTTGATGAATCGGTATATCCAACATTGGGTGGAGAGAAACACAAGCTGGTCAAAGAGCTATCATGGAATCAAACATCCTTAAATTGGCAAGATCCTCGGACTCTAGAATGTGATTCGGAGATCCAAAAGATTATACACTATCAAAAGCTAGCTAATCAATTGCCAGATTCCTTTGCTGACCCGAACAAAGTAACCAAATCGTACATACCAGCTTGTAATGTACCAGTACTAATCACTGTTCCAACGGGACAAGTTCAAGTTGCTACAGAGTCTGCATCACGAAATAAACGTGGCAGACCTCTAGGTTCCAAAGACAAGAATCCACGGAAATCAAAGAAAGGTGCAATAGTTGAAACCGGGATTCCCAATATAACAGACATAGCGCGCGCTGAGACTCACTCTAATGAACCATCAGAAGAGGTTCGGGACGCCGAATCTCTAGGTTCTGACGAGATCGATAACGATGAGATCTCTATCAATTACAACATGTCTGGAACCCAATGGAACAGAAAAGAAGTCGACTTAAATGCTCTCTTTGCATACAAAGTAGCACTTGATATTGCGAACACGCAAGAGGATCTAGAACCCACGTCTATCACAGAGTGCACTCATAGAACAGACTGGCTAAAATGGAAAGAAGCCATAAACGTGGAGTTAAAGAGTCTCAAACTCAGGAATGTGTTTGGTCCGATCATCCGGACACCATTCAATGTCAAACCAGTGGGCCATAAATGGGTCTTTGTGCGTAAAAGAAACGAACTCGGTGAAGTCGTTCGTTATAAAGCACGGCTTGTAGCACAAGGATTCTCACAGAGACCCGGAATCGATTATGAGGAGACTTATTCTCCGGTGGTGGATGCAACTACTTTTCGATTCCTCATAAGTCTGGCCATAAGAGAAAATCTAGATTTGCGGTTAATGGATGTTGTCACCGCATATCTCTATGGGCCCCTGGACAATGAAATATACATGAGATTACCAGATGGCATAGAGCTTAAAGATAAGCATGCATCTCGAGATCAATACTGCATCAGGCTGAACAAATCCTTGTATGGACTGAAACAAAGTGGACGTATGTGGTATAACCGGTTAAGCAAATATCTCATCAGAGAAGGCTACAAAAACGATCCCATCAGTCCTGCATTTTCATCAAGAAATACTCAAACAAAGGATTTGTAATCATAGCAGTTTACGTGGATGATCTAAACATCCTCGGAACATCTGGTGAAATCTCCCAAACAGTCGACTGCTTGAAAGCAGAATTCGAAATGAAAGACCTAGGTAAAACTAAATTCTGTTTGGGTTTACAACTTGAGTACGTCAAAGGAGGAATCCTTGTGCATCAATCGGCTTACATTGAAAAAGTACTCAAGCGATTCAATATGGACCAGGCCCACCCATTGAACAGCCCAATGGTTGTCCGGAGCCTAGGATTGGACAGTGATCCATTCGGTCCCAAGAAGGACGATGAAGAAATTCTCGGTCCAGAAAAGCCATACCTCAGTGCTGTAGGAGCGTTAATGTACTTGGCTAGTCATACTAGACCAGGCATTTGTTTTGCCGTGAACCTCCTAGCTCGCTTCAGCTCATGTCCAACTCAGAGGCACTGGAATGGTATCAAACACCTCCTAAGATACATTCAAGGTACTAAAGACTTAGGACTGTTTTACACTAACCACAACAAGGATGGACTAGTTGGTTTTGCTGATGCAGGATATCAATCAGATCCGCACAATGCCAAGTCTCAAACTGGTTATGTGTTCACACATGGAGGAACAGCTATCTCTTGGAGATCAATAAAGCAGACAATCACTACCACTTCATCAAACCATGCAGAACTTTTGGCCATTCACGAAGCCAGCAGAGAATGTGTTTGGCTACGATCCATGACTCAGCACATCCGATCAGATTGTGGTATGAAAGAAGATAAGGAGCCCACGGTTATGTTTGAAGACAACGCGGCTTGCATTGCTCAACTCAAGGAAGGTTATATCAAAGGAGATCGGACGAAGCACATCCTACCGAAATTCTTCTCAACCTCGGATTGGCAGAAGGATGGTACGATCAGCGTTCAACAGGTCCGATCATGCGATAACTCCGCCGACCTTTTCACAAAATCATTGCCCGCTTCAACACTCCGGAAGCTCATCCAACAAATAGGAATGCGTAGACTTAGAGATCTACGGTGATGCTCTAATCAGGGGGAGTAATGCGTGTTGTACTCTTTTTCCTTCACCATGGTTTTTCCCACTGGATTTTCCTGGTAAGGTTTTAATGAGGCAACATTCCCCAGCGTATTATCGAGATCCCGATTGACCATCAGGTCCGGTTACTCCGTCCAAGGGGGAGTGTTATAATACATCATATTGGACTATAACCAGGCCCAATAAGTCCATCAGGGTTATTCATTATGTACTCTAAAACCCTAGGTTTATATGCCTATATATATGTATCATTATTCATGGAATGAAGAGAGATAACAGAAAGTTTCACAACAATTATAATTTATGGCGATTATTATTGCTGATTTTTTTTAAAAAAATTTGGACATCTTGGTTTTAGGTTTTTAGATTGGCTAAAGAAAATATTGCGTGTATGGGCCTTTATAATGAAAACGTTTTGAAGCTGCTTTAATACCATTTATATTCAATCGGTAAATTTTAGAGTAGATTTGTGAGCTGATGTGGATGGCCTAAGGGGCCTCAATGAGCATCTTTTATTAGTAAGAGATTATTATTTTTTTTATTATCATTTTAAATCTTTCTTTCCCTTTTTCACACAATTGTTCAAGCTTTATTACAAACCGTCATTACGAGCTGGACTTTTGAACATTAGAAAACAAAGCCAATGAAAACTTCATTTCAGCTTAAGCTATATCACAAGGACTGAAAATCTTAAAGTAGATGAAGGAGATGTTGAACCTAGTGATTGCAATAGAGATAACAACATCGATAATTTGTTAGGAGTTCAAGACGAGATTGGAATTGCAGAGCCATGTGTTGGTATAGTGGTCAATTCAGAGAAAGAAGCTAAAATCTTTCTGTGATGAGTATTCAAGTCAGCATGGGTTTACTTCCAAGCTTCTTCCTAGAACTGATGGGTCTATTAGAATTTGTCTCTAGTAGTAAAAGGTCAAAGAGAAGGATTGCTGAGAGTTGTGATGCAATGCTAAGGGTAGAGTTACAAGGTCATGATAAATGGGTTGTTACAAAGTTTGTTAAAGAGCATACTCATGGATTAGCAGTTCTAATGCTCTTCACTGTCTTCGACCTCGTAGGCATTTTGTAATTCGGAAAATGTGCCTAGTGGTATGATGTATGTTTCTATGGATGGGAATCATGTTCCTTTGCAATCTAATAACAGAGGAGCTAGAAGTGTGGCTACAAACACGAAGAAGCTATTAATGACTTAGAAAATACATACCCAGCTGACACATAACTTATAGAGGACTAGTTTCTGAAACAACCTGGTTGTAATTATAGTTATTTATGATTTATCCAAACTGGAACCGATCAAAATCCAAAACTTAAACTCAACTCTCGAAGCTGTATCATTGACAAGTTAAGGATACTCAAATCGAGACCGACTTAGAACGAAACAAACAATCAAAACCAAAATGATTCAACAAACTACTTAGGTAGGATCTCCTTATTACAGAAATCTCTTCTTCAAAAACCTAACACCTTAGCCCTGAAGAACAATGCCACCTGCAAAATAGTAGTCCAAAAAGCCGTTAGTTATCCTTTGCGATTCTATTGAGAAGTCATTAGGATTGAAACTTAGTAACAGAAGATGTGATTCTAGGGACTCTTGGTCACTTCCCATAATTTATGATACATTTCCAGACAGAATTCATGTAACAGGTGGTTTAGACAGAATTCATGTAACAGGTGGTTCAGTTTTATTTACCGTTAGCGACAACAAGTCCATCTGCTTCTCCTGTAGCCTTGCTGGGTTCATGGCTTCCTGCAAAACGTAAAGAAAAAAACCCAATGAGAGTCCATGTTAGAAAATGTTCCTTAGTATGGAGGTTGATAAATCTATTAAGAAAAAGATAGAAGAAGAACAATAACCAAAGGTCAACACCTTTTTCCAAGTCATCAGGGTAGGCAAGGATAACAACAGACCTTCCAGAAATAGAGTTTGGTCCAGTAAGAGCAATCTGTGTAACAAGCACAAAATGAGAGGTTGTTCACTAGAGCAGAGAAAAAAAACATGACATAAAACAGGTACACAGCAATGAACCTGGCAGGCATCAGTGATTGTGAAGTTGGCAGTTCCTAAGAAAAGCATTAAAACTGGTCAAAGATGAATATTATACTACAAACTACAAAGCCAAAACCGCAAAAATGAAAAACATATTTGAGAGAGCAGTATCAACAAATGTATGTGATGAGGAATACCGTCGTCTTCAACATGGAACTCTTTTAGATCGACATTGTGGACACGGATACAATGGACACCAGGCTTAAGGCCAGAAACTGTTACAGTCACAGAGGTTACACCTGCAAAAGCCAATACAAGAAAATCAATCATTCGAGAAGAAAGGGAAAAGAACAAAAAAGAATATGGCTTCAAAATCTTAAACGCTCTAAAAAGAACTACATTCTTCTCCTTCCTGGGTGAAGACGATAGTCCCGTTAACACCCTCGCTGCTCTTCAAAACTGCGACTCCTTTAGAATCCTCCCACGGATTTCTCATGCACTCAATATGGTTTAATGATGTAAGAAACCTATTACCCTCAAATAATGATGAAGATCTGAACTGTATTGACTTCACGGTCTTTCTCTCTAAATTGTAAAACAGCACTGAGAGAGGAGGCACGTCAGGAACAGTAAATGGCACCCACACGGCTTCATTGCCGTGAGTCACTCCAGCAAAACACATAATGTAAGGATCACAGTTCAAAGAAACATCTGGAAACTGGTGAAACTGTCTTGACCATCTATGATTTGTGGGGTCATCTAAAAGCCAGAGTTCAAAACTCTTCATATGCTCGAGAGTTACATGAGAAGCCAACTTCCCATTGAAGTTGAATAGAGTTGCCATGTCCTTGTATGTGCTCTCCCATCGTGTCATCGAAAGTGTTTTGTCGAAATACTTGATCGATGTGAACTTTTCAGAGTTCACATCGAAATCAACTACCATAGAAATCTCGGCATTGATCATCTGGGCAGCTAGATAAAAAATATGGCCACTAATGCATATCGGATCATGATCTATCGGGAAGTGTTCTATGCCACAATGGATACTTCTCCACAGTAAATCATCTCCACCCCTTAATGTCAGACATTGATGGCGTCTAGATAATGCATTGCCGTCTCCATCAGGGGCCATTGTTGTCATGGACAAAACTTTGTACTTTTTGCCAACGGGATCATAACCAAAATAGCATTGTGTTCCAAGCGCCCTTCGCGTATTCTCAAACTGACGCCTCCTTGCCGGAAACAATGTGGGCAAAGTAATAGACTTGCTAGTGCTCGGATTGTGTATCACACACTCACACATTGTATACTTATTATCAGTGAATGGTTTCTCTTGTACACCCAATACCAAACCATTGACGGAGACATTGGTTTCCTCTTCACCCCTTAGAAGAGATAAATCCGTCTGATGATTGACTGGTAGAGTAGAAGAGAAGCCTTCAAGAGTCTGAGGCAAAGGTGAAGACAGAAAAAACAGTTTCCCGTCAACACTGTAGTCGCTGTTGGTTACTTTTTGACTGCAAGCGAACAATAGCTGAGGGCTTACTCGGCTCGAGAACAAGGTTGTGAAAGATGGACAGCTAATTATCGATGCCCAGGCCTTTGAGACACAGCAGCATCTTGCTATAGATTTGGCAGGCATTCGCGTGAACACATCCTCAATTAAATGATCAGGGAAGGAGTCTGGGTCTTTTCCACCTCTTATCCTCGAACGCCGGAAAAGAAAACGAGCGTATGTTGAGACAGTAAATGCAACATCTTTGGATTCAAACGCCCATTGATTCTTCTTGCAAACATAGTCTTGTTCCGCCGGAGTAAAATCGCTACTGATGATGTTGAATTTGGTACGAATCTCACTTGGAGTTTTGCAGGCTGTGATCAGATCAGCAATTGTTTGGCAGCATAGATCAACCAGACTATTAATGCATAGGTAATCTGTAGCCTCGGTTACCTTGTAGAGTTCCAAGCAGCAGTCAGATTTTATGAAGTTGTCGTCCCACTTCTGAAGCTCCTCATCAGAGGAAAAAGTACCATCGACATGCTTCTTGCAGTACTCGACCACTAACTCTAGAGTCTCGCCTCTGAAATTTTCAATCAGAAATTCTTCTTCTTTTCCAGTGTTCCTGGCGACAGAATCTGAAAGTGCAAGAGCTATTAAGTACTTGAGAACTAGCTCACGATTTAAGACAGAAACTGAGTCAGGAACTGAGTCACAAGCTGAGACAAGGATTTCTTCTTAAAACTCTTTTGATTAATAGAAAATACGTTTACAAGGTCTTCCTTAAACTATTTTCTATTCTCTCAATCTCTCGTTCTTAGATCACAACCCGATCAAGAACTCTCTCAAGACAAATCCCTTAGCCCCCTTAAGCATTATGCTTTCTCACAAGAAACCACATAACCTTAATGTCTAAGAATTCTCTTTCTCTCTTGTGCTCAGTTTTTCTAAAGCCTAAGCACCCTATTTATACTAAATAGGTCGTGGCTATACAACAAGCCGATTTCCTATTCTAACACTAATAGGAATAGACAATTTCCTTTTTCTTTAAGGATTAGGAAATTGTCCTTTCTCTTCATGTTTCCTTTTCCTCCTATGAAAAGGAAACTCTTCAGTCTTCTAGAATCTTCTCCAAGCTTCTAGTATCCACAGCCAACCGTCATAGACCGACTTTACCAATTTCCATATGCTCGCTTCACGTTGCTCTGTTCCCCTGAACTACTTCTTGAAGTACTCTGAACTAGTACAACGACTGCTTCAACAGCTTCATCTTTATTATTTGCCTTCTATAAATGCCGCTTTCTGTTTCTCTTCATCTTGATATAAAACTTATTAAGAATACATCAACAATCTCTCCCTTTCTTAGTGAGTTTTATAATCCAAGCTTCACACATCATTAACTTCAATTATTACTTTGATGATCTCCAAACTCTCTCTCAACCTTGAAACAAAGATCTCAGCAGCTTCTAAAACTCGGTCTTCACAACACCAACAATCTCCCCCTTGATGACTGAGTTTTAGAAACAAAGCACATACTTAATGTTGAGATAAAACATCATGCTTCGTTATATCACTTCATGTGCTACTTTGTCACCGGTACATCGAGTGTGTCAACTGGCTGCATCAATAATCTCCCCCTTTAACTTTGTGTGTCTCACAAGCATCTATAAAGCAGACCCATAAAGCTACACACAAGCCACATAGGGTTCTAGCAAAGAACAAGCAAAACCATCTTCAAAACTCCCCCTTAATCCTATGCCATCTTATGAAAACTCCCCCATAAAACAACATCCTTCTCTTAGTCACATTCTTCTCCCCCTGCTTGTGAGCACACACAAGTTAAAAACACTTTCGTAGGTTGACACACACATGAATCCCAGCTGGACTACTTCAAAGGTCAAGTTGGTCAATTCTGAAATTTTATATGAACTCTGTCCAAAACATGTTGAATAAGACCTAAACCAACCGTCAAAATCTCAATCCCACCGTTGAATCTCAAGACAATAGTTCCATGAAGCATGCCACAAAGTTTCAGCTCGATCTGACTACAATTAGATCTCCAAACGTTGCCTTGAATTTGACATCTTGAAACTATTTTTTTAATCCGAAAATATCATACTTTGACCTTGATGATGCAGATCATATGTTCTCTTCTTCTTTCTTCTCCTCATTGATGTAGCTCTCTCTAATAACCACCAGAGATAAACATTGTATCTGATTTTGAAAGATTTCCTTTAAATCCAAGACCATATCGATCAGTTTTGCCAATGTTTAGAATATGATCCAACTGCTTCGTGCCATTATTAAGCATCCTCAAATTCTTGTAAGTTTCTTCAAGTTGCACTCTAGCTTGTGATGCTTCTTCTTCCTTCTCTATTGCATATTTTTGTGTTTCAGCCACCTTTGCCTCTATCTTGAGTTTTTCCCTTGTTAACACTGAATTCTCCTCAACTAGGTTAAGCCATTGTTCATATAACATCTTGTACTTGACACTCTCTACCTCGTTGCAGCCTTCTGATGCAAGTTCTGATACAGGTTTTAATGCAGGTTCTGCTGCAGGTTTTAATGCAGGTTCTGCTGCAGGTTTTAATGTAGGTTCTGCTGCAGGTTTTAATGCAGGTTCTGCTGCAGGTTCTGTTGCAGGTTCTGCTGCAGGTTCTGTTGCAGGTTTTAAAGCAGGTTCTGTAGCAGTTGCAGTCATATTGCGAGAATATCCACTTCCTGATGTACTTCTTGATTTTCCTGACTTACTTCCTATCCTTCCTGACGTATGTTCTGATGTAATCTGATACAGATCAGATTTCTTCACCCATATTTGACTTCGGAATCCATTCCAGGAAAATTTCCCTTGATGTTTGAGTCTACTTATTCTGTCTCTGAATTTGTAGCAATATGCTTTAATGTGCCCATTCTTTCCACAAAAATAACATCCAGTTCCTTTGGATGCATTACTTTCATATTTGTTTGGATTTGGTGGAGAGACACTTTCAGCTACAAACTTGATTTGCCCTGTTTGAGATCCTTTTTGTCCAATATATCCCAAACCTCTGTTAGATTTTCCTACTCTTGTAGAAACAGTCAGCTTGTCCTTCATACTTTCTTGACAGATTTTTGTTTTATCCCTCAGTTCATTCTGCAGTAACTCAACAAGTTCGTCAAGACGACGCTTTTCTTTTACTAAGGCTTGATTTTCTTGTCCAATCTTAATCAGTGTCTCACGTACCTCCTTATAACATTCAGCAAAGTCAACTTCATGTTCTTCTTCAGACTCAGACCCTAACACTTCTTCACCACCTTCAAATTCAGCTTTTCCCAAAAGTGTAACAAAATGATTTACTTCTTCTTCAACATCACTTTCTTCCTCTGAATCTTCTTCTATTCTCTGTATTGATTTTTCTTTTCTTATTTTCTGATTACTAACACATTCATGCTGAGTATGTCCAATACCTTTGCACCCAAAGCACTTTACATCCTTTTTCTTGAATGTAGGACATTCATATTTGAAGTGTCCATACCCTAAGCACTCATGACATTGCATATTTGCCTTCTTAATAGTTTTACCTTCTTCTGGATATTTTTTGCTTGAGCTGAACCTCCTCTGTCCTTGTTCTTCTTCTACCTTCCTTAATAGTTGATCAAGTCTTTGAAACAACAAACTTTTAGGATCATCTTCTTCTACCTCTTGAGTTTTCCTTTCAAGAGAAGTTATTGCCAAATCCTTTGGATTGTTCACTTTCTTCACACCCTCTAGTTCCATCTCATGAGCTTGAAGCATTCCGACCACATCTCCAAAGCTAAGGTCTTCCGTGTTATGTGACACACTTAAGGCAGTTTTGTATGCCATGAATCTTGAAGGTAAACATCGTAGAAACTTCTTCACTAGTTTCTTATCTTTGTACTTCTTTCCAAGTGTCAATGCTTCTTGAGCTAGAGAACTTATCTTTGAACTAAAATCAGAAATTGAATCACGTTCTTCCATCTTCAGATTTTCGAATCTTGAGGCTAACATGTCTTTCCTTGAGTTCTTCACCTTTGTGGTTCCTTCAAAGTGATTTTGCAAGATATCCCAAGCTTCTTTTGCTGTTTCACATCCCTGAATTAGTTCGAACTGGTTTCTTCCAACATTAATGTGAATAGCGGTGAGTGCCTTTGCGTTGTACTTTGATTTTTTCAATTCATCATTAGTCCAGTCCTTCTCCGGTTTAGCAACCTCGGCTCCTGATTCATCCTTGATTTTTGGTTCTTCCCACTTTTCCAATATGGCTTTCCAAGCATAGACATCAATGCCTCTTATAACCGCCTTCATCCTTGATTTCCAAAAACCATAGTTTCCATCATTCAATATTACTCTTGACCCGATGTCAAGTCCATGATAGCTCTCCATCTTCTCCACAAGATCTCACCTGTATGCAATCCTCACAAGTGACCGCTCTGATACCAATTGAAAGTGCAAGAGCTATTAAGTACTTGAGAACTAGCTCACGATTTAAGACAGAAACTGAGTCAGGAACTGAGTCACAAGCTGAGACAAGGATTTCTTCTTAAAACTCTTTTGATTAATAGAAAATACGTTTACAAGGTCTTCCTTAAACTATTTTCTATTCTCTCAATCTCTCGTTCTTAGATCACAACCCGATCAAGAACTCTCTCAAGACAAATCCCTTAGCCCCCTTAAGCATTATGCTTTCTCACAAGAAACCACATAACCTTAATGTCTAAGAATTCTCTTTCTCTCTTGTGCTCAGCTTTTCTAAAGCCTAAGCACCCTATTTATACTAAATAAGTCGTGGCTATACAACAAGCCGATTTCCTATTCTAACACTAATAGGAATAGACAATTTCCTTTTTCTTTAAGGATTAGGAAATTGTCCTTTCTCTTCATGTTTCCTTTTTCTCCTATGAAAAGGAAACTCTTCAGTCTTCTAGAATCTTCTCCAAGCTTCTAGTATCCACAGCCAACCGTCATAGACCGACTTTACCAATTTCCATATGCTCGCTTCACGTTGCTCTGTTCCCCTGAACTACTTCTTGAAGTACTCTGAACTAGTACAACGACTGCTTCAACAGCTTCATCTTTATTATTTGCCTTCTATAAATGCCGCTTTCTGTTTCTCTTCATCTTGATATAAAACTTATTAAGAATACATCAACAGAATCATCGCCTTCAAGAAAGTTCCAAACAAAATTCATCTGGCGTGCCACAGCTTCATCAATTTTAAAGACTTTTCCATCTGAGCTTATCAAACAGACCATCTTCTCCGGAAGATTTCCCCTGCAACCCAAAAATTGAGATCATAGATCATAAACATTTCCAACATTTGACACAAGACTACGATTCAGAGAGTAAAAAGCTTGTACCGCTTAGGAAGAGAAGAAGACGCGGATTCAGTGTTCGTCGTTGATTTTAACTCCTCTGGTATTCTTTAGTCTCCTCGATCGATCTTCTCTGAAGATTTCTCTTAAAACCCTAGACGGCTGGTACAAACACTTGTGGTGGATCAAGCCCAATTAGTGATGAGACTAAAATATCCCTACAGCTTGTACAAACGCTCGTAAAATACTGTATCTTCGCTGTAAAAAAAATTTATAATAAAAAATTAAAAAAATCACTATCTATTTATACTTATAGCTCTTATTACATCAATTGCCATTCAATTAAGCACTAAAAAGATGTTTAATTAAAATAAATCAGAAAAGAGGATAAAAGTCCTGACCTTTGAATCATTTAATGGTTTTCCTCTAATCTTACCATTTTCAGATTTAGAATTGCAGCATTATTGTTTAGTCTTATTACAAACGAATGATTATAAATTGATTTTTGTTGGAGCTGGATTTCTTACATCTTAATCCACCAACAAAAATAGCTAAGTGGACTTTAAAGTCTACTTAGATCCATCAGCCCATCAGGAGAGCAGCGAAGCATATAACGATAATAAACCTAGTCTTGCTAATATCTCAGAGTGTACCTAATATTTAGAAGCAGTTGACACGAATGTCAAACCGAATAACCTAATGAAAAAACTTATATACGGACGTTGGACGACATAAACAAGGATCATCGCCTAATACTTTACTATTATATTCACATACTTTTGATTGTATTCATTTGATTCACATCAATAAAATCTTTTCCTTCTTAACAATTAAACTCTCAGAGTTTCATTGACTATCTAGCCTTCTTTTCCC